CCGGGCCGTGAGATCGAGCCCCGTGTCAGGTTCTGCGCACAGTGCGGAGTCTGCTTGGGATTCTCTCTCTCTCTCCCTCTGCCCCTCCCACTCATGCTCGCTCTCTCTCTCTAAAATAAATAAATCTAAAAAAAAAAAAAGAATGGGGGTGTGGAGCTTATTGATGCATGGGTGGTACTACTATGCAATGATTGGCTGGCAAGCTGGCCTGCTTATTGTAGGATCCCCAAATATCTGTACCCAGAGGTCTCTGGTGCCTCTAGTGTCCCCAAAGAAGAATCCTCCAATCTCCTACTAGGGGTGGGAAGGGGTAGTGGTGTGGAGGCAGGGAAGGGACTGAGCTTTCACTGTTCACTACTTTTTCGCCCCATGACCTCATCCTCAGGCCAGTGTCCCCAAATCCAGTGCATCTCAGGCTCAGTTTCTACAGAGAATAAATTCCTGGCATCCTATGGAGGGGAAGGGGGGCGTCTCCCAGCTTTTCAAGATTGGAGAGGGGGCCAGGGGTTCTGAATTTTAACCAGCTCCCCTGTATTTAGCTCTGAGCCTCCCTCACACCTCTACCATCCCCACTGCCTGCATGTTCTGGACATTTCAAGGGTGATCTGGCCTGACACTCACTGGGGTTCCCCTATGTGAATGCTTGGGTTCTAGTACCCTCTGCTCCCCTAAGTCAGTTGTAATGTCTCAGCCACTTTCCACGTTCTAAAGATGCGTTAGCATTTCTCATCTGCTAACATCTTTTCTCTTTACTCTTGTGGGTTTTAAATATTTTATTGACATTCTTATACTTACAAATTTTCCTTTTGGGGCACTCTTCATTCCTTTGTACGGATCTAAGTTTCCATCTGTTAACGTTTTCCTTCCACTTGAATAACTTCCTTTAACATTTCTTGCATGTCTTCTGGTGATAAATTCTCTTAGCTTTTTTTGTTTGTCCACAAAAATCTTCATTTCCTCTTCATTTTTCACAGAATATAGAATTCTAGGTCAACATTTTTCCCCCCAGCACTTTAAACATTTCATTCTATTGTTTTCTAGCTTGCATGGTTTCCCTTGAGAAGTATTCATTATTTTCTGTGTTCTTCATAGTGTGTCTCATTTCTCAAAAGGATTTTAAGATTTTGTTTTTATCACTAGTTTTCAGCACTTGATTATGATGGGCCTTCGTGTAGTTTTCTTGGTGTTTACCTTGCTTGGGATTCGTTGAGTTTCTTGGTTCTGTGGGTTTATCATTGTGTTAGTTTGTGCAAAAAATTACCACAGACTGGGTGGGTTAAAACAACAAAATTTTATTCCCTCATTGTTTTGGAGGTTGGAAGTCCAAACTGAAGGAGTCAGCAGGGCCCCACTCCTTCCAAAGGCTCCAGGGGAGAATCCTTCCTTGCCTCTTTCAGCTTCTGGTGTCTCCAAGCATTTCTTGGCTTGTGGTTGCATAATTTCATTCTCTGTCTCCTCTTTACATAGAGCTTCTCTCTTCATGGATCTCTCCTTTGTATGTCTTATAAAGACATCTCATTGGATTTAGGGTCCACCCGGATAATCCAGGCTGATCTCAGGGCACCTGGGTGGCTCAGTTGGTTAAGCAGCTACCTTCAGCCCAGGTCATGATCCCAGGGTCCTGGGATCGAGTCCTGTGTCTGGCTCCCTGCTCAGAGGGGAGCCTGCTTCTCCCTCTCCCTCTGCCCCTCCCCCTGCTTGTGCTCGCTTTCTTTTTTTTTTCTTTTAAAGATTTTATTTATTTATTTGAGAGACAGAAACAGCATGAGAGGGGAGAGGATCAGAGGGAGAAGCAGGCTCCCCGCTGAGCCGGGAGCCCGATGTGGGACTCAATCCCAGGACTCCGGGATCATGACCTGAGCCGAAGGCAGTCGCTTAACCAACTGAACCACCCAGGCGCCCTTGTGCTCGCTTTCTCTCTCTCTCTCAAATAGATTAAAAAAAAAATCCAGGCTGATCTTGTCTTGAGATCCTTAACTTAATTTCACCTGCAAAGACCTATGTTCCGGGGCGCCTAGGTGGCTCAGTCAGTTAATCATCCAGCTCTTGGTTTCTGCTCAGGTCATGATTTCAGGGTCATGAGACTGAGCCCTGCATCAGGCTATGCACTCAGTGCAGAGTCTGCTTGTCCCTCTCCCTCCTCCTCTGCCCTTCCACCCCACCCCTCACGCACAGGCATGTACACGCTCTCTTTCTCTCTCAAATAAATAAATAAAATCTTAAAAAAAAAAACCCCACCCATGTTCCAAAGAAGATCACATTCACAGGTTCTGGGGGTTAGGGTATAGACACATATTTTGGGGGGGGTACCACCATCAACTCCCTATAGTAATTTAAAAAAAAAACAAATTCGGAAAAATGTTTAATGTTATCTATTTAAATTTAAATTTCTCTTTAAATTTTAAAAAGATAATGTTATCTCTTTCAATTTCAATTTTTTTAAGATTTTATTTTTTCAAGAGAGAGCATGAGCAAGAGAGAGAGAGAAAGAGAGAGAGAGCATGAGGGAGCATGAGCAGGGGCTAGGGGCAGAGGGAGAAGCAGACTCCCCACTGAGTGGAGACCCCCCACCCCAGGATCATGACCTGAGCCGAAGGCAGACGCTTAACCAACTGAGCCACCCAGGTGCCCCCAAATTTAAATATTAAAGAGACAATGTTATCTCTTTAAATTTCTTATTTCTCCTACTTCCTTATCCTATCCTTTGGGGACTCCATCACACATATGTTAGAATGCCTTATAGTGTCTCATAGATAGTTGAGGCTCTGAATGTTTTTCAGTACTTTTTTCCTCCTCTGTGCTCCATTTCTGTTCTATGTGTTCTGTTGTTATATCTTCAAGTTCACTGATTTTTTTTATTCTGTAGTGTCTAATCCAATGAATTTTTCATTTCAGAAATTATACTTATCTCTTACTCTTTCCCCGTGAACATTGTGTTCATGTGTTTCTGTATCATGAGCACACTGAGCCATTCACCATCTTTATCATTTCTTTTTTTCAAGGTTTATTTATTTGAGAGAGAGAGAGAGAGCACACGGGTGGGAGGGGCAGAGGGAGAGGGAGAGAGAGTCTCAAGCAGATTCCACGCTGAGCGGGGAGCCTGACTGGGGGCTTGATCTCACGACCCTGAGATCATGGCCTGAGCTAAAACCAAGAGTCCGATACTTAACTGACTGTGCCACCAAGGTGCCCCATCTTTATCATTTCTGAATATCTCCCAATTATGGGTCATATTTTCCTACTTCTTTGCACGTCTAGTAATTTTTTTCTGGTAGTTTGTAACTGGGTATTATTGCAAATAATATTGCAAATATTATCATATTAAGCATCTGGATTTTATTGTCTTCCTTTAAAGAGTGTTAGGCTTTGTTCTGACCAACTAAGCTAAGTTACTTGTAAACCAGTTGGATCCTTGTGAGATTACTTTTAATCTTTATTAGATTGGATTTAGGTAAGCCTTTTCTCTCAGGATAGTTTAGCCCTACTACTAAGGCATACCCATTCCTGGGTCTCTGTGGAATACCCTGGGCAAACAACACGGACTCTCCACTCTAGCAGGTTGGAGCTTGAATGTCTCCTTGCCCTGAGACATGAGAATTTCGAGACTTTTCCAGCTTATTGCTCCTTTTCTATCTAGTGTTGCCGAGTTTCACTCTACACAGGCCAAGTTTAGTATTCAGCAAAGACTTGGAGGAACCCCATGCAGATTTCTGGAGCTCTTTGCACAGCTCACTCCTTCCTGAAACTCTGTCCTGCAACTTCTTGCTACCTCAGCCTCCCTGAACCCCTCTCTCTGTCTCCTCAACTCCCAGCAAGACTACCATGCTCTGCTAGAGATTCCCCTCCCTGAATTGCTGTCTAGAATGTTCCTCCTTGTAGAAATCTAAGCCATCATAGGGCGTACCTTGTTTGTTTCTCTTACTTCAGGGATCACAGTCCTGGGCTACTTGTTGCCTACTATCAGAAAACAGTTATTTCATGTATTTTGAAGCAGTAGTTTTCTTTGTTTATGGGAGGATGATTTCAGCTGATCTCATCATGGTTGCAGTAGAAGCCTTTTGACTGGCATTTTAATCAAGTTTGGGGATGGAGAGGAGGAGTTACATGTATGTGGTCAGTTCACTGTATTTAGCTAGAGGCCTTAGGCTCCTGAAATTTATTTATTTATTTAAAAGATTTTATTTATTTATTTGACACAGAGAGAGAGAGGGAACACAAGCAGGGAGAGTGTGAGAGGGGAAGCAGGCTTTCCGCGGAGCAGGGAGCCCAATGCGGGGCTCGATCCCAGGACCCTGGGACCATGACCTGAGCCGAAGTCAGACGCTTTAACAACTGAGCCACCCAGGCACCCCCTGAAATATATTTAAATATTTATGTTTAACAGACATGTTTTTTACTGCCCAACAAAAATCTCATACAATTAATCATGCTATTCACAAAACAGTAATAGGATTTGTAAAAAAAATTAAAAAAAAAAAGTTAATACATAGTGTTCCACAGGCAAAGGACGTGGGTTTGAAGTGGTACCATGAACATATCCTTCATTCCTATCAATCTGTTACAGCAACTGTGAAGCCTCATTCAGTGATAATGTCAATGATCTAAATTGATAGCCCTTCCTGAAGGTGTGATCTTGGACCTGTAGGCTGGGTCCTGCCTCAAGTGCCCTCCTTGGCCAACAGCCTCTCTAGACCACCCTTCAACCCTAGACTTACTCTTCCCAGGCAGCCCAGTTTGGAGCCTTGGAAGAGTCAACCCAGTCAGGGGACGTAGGTGGAGAGGAAAGGAGGAAGGGCCTTCCTTCCTCAGAGCTGCTTCCTGCCCTGTCCCGCAGGCCTCTTTTCACCTGCCCAGCACCCCGCGCATTGTGTCTCTGTTCCGTTGCCTGGTGAGGTGGGCAAGGCAGGGCGGCCAGGTGGCTCCTGCCTGCCTAGAGGCTGTTGGGCTCAGATGGGCTGCCTCAGAGGTGACCAGGGATACATCTTCACCTCCTTCTCCAGGTGGACATCGAGCAGCTGGATCCCCGCGGGCGGACTCCCCTGCACCTGGCCACCACACTGGGACACCTTGAGTGTGCCCGTGTGCTCCTAGCACACGGCGCAGATGTGGGCAGGGAGAACCGCAGCGGCTGGACAGGTGGGCGCCCCTGCTCACCCCAGCCCCACAGCCAGGGTCTCCCAGCTTCGAACTTCCCCCTGGGTGAGCGGACGGGGGCCCCCAGGGAGGGTTCTGCCCTGACGTTGCCTCCCCCCGCGCCCCGCCCCGCAGTGCTTCAGGAGGCTGTGAGTACCCGGGACCTGGAGCTGGTGCAGCTGGTGCTACGGTACCGGGACTACCAGCGGGTGGTGAAGCGGTTGGCGGGCATCCCCGTGCTCCTGGAGAAGCTTCGCAAGGTGAGGGCCAGCCTCTCAGCCTCCCCACCACAGCCCTCGAGCCCTGTGTCTAGCACAGACTTAGGTACCCTCCTTCTCATTCTCCAGGCCCAGGACTTCTACGTGGAGATGAAATGGGAGTTCACTAGCTGGGGTAAGGGAGCCGGGGCAGGGGGGCCCTCTGTGGGCATCCTCCCACCCCAGGGCTTTTGCACCTGCTGCTCTCCTGCGTGGTGCTCTTCCCGGGGCTCCTTCTCATCCTTGAGTTCCCAGCTCAGTGCCACCCCCTTAGCTAAGCTTTTCCATGCTGCCTCAGACACTGTCTGGATTCCATTATTATTACTTCCTTCACTTTGTAAGGATCCGATCGTTTGTTTGTTACTTGTCACTCCTTGCTAGAAGGTAAGCGCCCAGAGGGCAGGGGTCTTGTCTTGTTCAATGTTGTATCCTCAGTGACTAGAATAGTGCCTGGTACACAGTAGGTGGTTAATAAATATTTGTTGGAAGACGGGATGAAAGATTAAGTGAATTAACAAATGGTGGCTACTAGGGACTTGCTGGCGGTGGGGACGTGCCTATGTCCGGCTTCAGGTTGCTCATGTTGGAGTGACTGGTTTACATTCGCGTGGGGGGAGCTGGGGAGTTCACTCGTCCTTTCCCGGCCACACCGCTGACCCTGACCCCCGTGCCCCGAGGTGGCTCAGGTTGGGTGGGCCAGTCAAATTGAAGCCACCTCTGACCTTCCCTTCCACCTAGTGCCCTTGGTGTCCAAGATCTGTCCCAGCGACACCTACAAAGTGTGGAAGAGTGGGCAAAACCTTCGGGTCGATACCACGCTCTTGGGCTTTGACCACATGACGTGGCAGCGAGGGAACCGCAGCTTCGTCTTCAGGGGCCAAGGTCAGGCAGGCAGGAGGTGGGGCAAGGTGGGAAGGCTGGGGACACCCACTTGCCTGCCCCCGCCAAACACCCCTGTGCTGTTCTGTGGCTGGTAGATACGAGCGCCGTGGTCATGGAGATTGACCATGACCGCCGCGTGGTGTACACGGAGACGCTGGCCCTGGCCGGGCAGGACCGGGACCTGCTGCTGGCGGCCGCCCAGCCCACGGAGGAGCAGGTGCTAAGCCGGCTCACTGCGCCCGTCGTCACCACACAGCTCGACACCAAGAACATCTCCTTTGAGAGGTGAGTGGGCACAGCCTTGGTAGCCTCGAGCCAGCCTGCTGGGGGGCCCCTCACCCAGACCACTCTGCTTCCCCAGGAACAAGACTGGCATCCTGGGCTGGCGCAGCGAGAAGACCGAGATGGTGAACGGGTACGAAGCCAAGGTGAGGCTGCGGCGCCCTGATCCCGGAGCCCGCCCACTCTGGCCTACAGTCGACTGGGCGGGGGCTTCCCGACCACCCCCTCCCAGCCTTGGGGGTGCGGAGGCAACGCGGCGTGGAGGGAGGGCACGAGACTAAGAGGCAACTGATGAGGACGGCCAGTTTACTGAGCCCTTACTGTATTCACGTTCAGGGCGCCGTCCCCAAGTTTTATTTGCATGACGTATGAATACGCGCATGCGCACGCGCTCAGTCCCAGCAGATTTGGGAAGGTGCTATTGTAATTATTATTCCCGTTTTACAGATTTCATTGAGCCTTTCCCACAGTATCCCATTCAGTCTTCACCACGACCGTGGGGTAGGGTATTGGCCCATTCTCTGATGAGGAAACAGGCTTGGAGTGGTCACATGACCTGTACGGGGTCGCTCAGCTATCAGTGGCCCAGCTGAGGTTCAGACCTTGGCTGCCTGACTCCAAAGCCAGGCCTTTACCCCTGAGGATACTGTGTTGGCCCCTCTGGGACCCTTGTCACCCCCATGGGGCCCGAGGGTGGCGGCGGTGAAAGCAGGCGCTAAGGCGCGCAGAATGGCCCTGCGGGGTTTCCTCCTGGAAGGCTTCCCCGGCCCGCTAGGCTGGGCTAAGGCCTCTGCTTTTGGTTCCCACAGCCCTGTGCTCCCCCCTACCAGAGTGGGTCTCACACTATGTTATAACTGTCCCTTTTCTTCTCTTCAGCTAGTGTGTGAACCTCCAAAGGGTGGGGATTGTCTCCAGTTGTGCTCGTTCACCGCTGTACCCCTGATGTCTGCCTCAGGGCCTGGCACATAAAGGCTCCTCACAAAATGTTTGTTGAATGAATAAGAGCATGGATGAATGACTTCATATATTCACTTGCCCAAAGGCTGGGAGACTGGAGCGAACAGCTCCCCTGTCCCCCAGTGGCCCCTCTGCAGAAAGTGTTCATAATGCCCTTGGGGGCAGGAGGTAGGGTACCGGAATTGTCTTTGAGCCCTTTCCTCATCTGTCCCCAGGTATATGGGGCATCCAATGTGGAGCTCATCACCCGGACACGGACAGAGCATCTTTCAGAACAGCACAAGGGCAAGGTCAAAGGTAATGAAGCGGAGGTGGATGGGGAGAGGTATGAGGGAGCAGCACCCACTCGAGTCCCTCCGTCAGTGCTCCCTGTGACATCCCAGCAAAAGCCGGGTAGTTTATTCACGCAAACACATTTCAGTTCAAGTGCCGAGTGCTAATAATTGAGAGTGACTGCCTGGAGTGCAGCTAGGAAGATTCTAGGCAACGTTCGGGCTCAATGGGAGGGAACGCTACAGCTGGTAACTGATGTCCACATTGGATTTGGGGCGGAAGCGTCATGTGTGCGGTTTATTGGCCGTCCCTGTCCAGTGGACCAGGCCCTAAGCAGTAAGTCAGGGGGCCTGCCACGGATCCTCTGTGCCTCTTGATACCACACCTGACTCTTGGGCATCAGTGAGTCTCTCTAGAGTAGCAAGACAGGAGAACCAAATGAGGTAATTAAGACAGAAGTGCCCGAAGGAAAACACAGACAGACACATGCGTACCCCAGCACTGCTCACCAAAGGCACGTATTTCTTGTCCAGTGTCACCAACGTGGACCCTTTTGGAAATTTCTCCAGAGCCCCAGGCCTATTTTTATTCCCGCTGTGCTTGTGGTCCTGGTCCCTGTCCCTTAGAGTCCTCAGTCAACTTCAGATGCAGGTGCCCAAGTGTTTGGTGTGGCTGAGCAGTCCTCCCCACCTGCCAGGAACCAGCCTCCTCACTAGGTCTCGGGGGCTGGCACGGCTGAGGGTTCAGTGTCCTCTGAGACGCCACATTTCTTGTAGGCTGTAAGACACCTCTGCAGTCCTTCCTGGGAATTGCTGAGCAGCATGGGGGCCCCCAGAATGGGGTGAGTGCGTGCCAGGGGTGCCCTCGTGTGGAAGGGTGTGGTTGTGGCTCAGGAGGCAACCTGCCTGGGAGGCGTCCTGCCCAGCACGGCCTGTGTGAAACTACTTTCCACACTGCCCAGGGCCATGTCAGCTGCAGGGTGGCTGGGGGGGATGGCTCTGGGGCCCACGATCCCAAATGGTTGGCCTGGCATCAGAGACTGAGAAGGGCTCACAGGTACCTCCTCATGTGGTATACAGACCCTGATCACTCAGACTCTGAGCCAAGCCAACCCCACTGCCATCACTGCAGAAGAGTACTTCAACCCCAACTTTGAGCTTGGCAACCGGGACATGGGCCGCCCCATGGAACTCACCACCAAGACACAGAAGTGAGGCCCCCTGATGGTGCTGGGGAGGGCTGGGTGGGGCAGGGCTGGGCGGGGTTTCCAGAAGGTACTCAGAAGCCACCCCGGGTGGCTTCTACTGTGCCCCTCACCCCTTGGGATCTGGGGGGGCAGGTTCAAGGCCAAGCTGTGGCTGTGTGAGGAGCATCCCCTGTCCCTGTGTGAGCAGGTGGCCCCCATCATTGACCTCATGGCTGTCAGCAATGCGCTTTTCGCCAAGCTCCGGGATTTCATTACCCTACGCCTGCCGCCTGGTTTCCCGGTCAAGATTGGTGAGACCCCAGCCCCGTTTCCTCTCAGCCGCTGGTGTGTGTGTGTGTGTGTGTGTGTGTTGGGGGGCGGGTAGGGCTTAGATGAGGTAAAGATTAGGGGTGCCTAAGGTGTGAGAAGGTGGGTGGTGGCACCCGCTGTTTCTTCATCCTCAGAAATCCCAATCTTCCACATCCTCAACGCTCGCATCACCTTCGGGAACCTCAATGGCTGCGACGAGCCGGTGCCGTCGGTGCGAGGCAGCCCCAGCAGTGAGACCCCGTCCCCAGGCAGCGACTCCTCCAGCGTCAGCAGCTCCAGTTCCACCAGTGAGGCCCTCCCCATCTGCGTGTCTGCCCGCACGTCCCTCCCCACCGAGCACTGGCCGGCTCCCTGCGCAGGCAGGAGGCCGGAGGGTGCGTGCGGCCACGCCCTGACCCCCAGCCTGGCGTCCTCAGCCTCGTGCCGCGGCTGCGAGATCTCCCCCGCGTTGTTCGAGGCCCCGCGCGGCTACAGCGTGCTGGGCGGCCAGCGGGAGGCGGCGGCCCGGGACGACGACGACGACCTGCTGCAGTTCGCCATCCAGCAGAGCCTGCTTGAGGCGGGCAGCGAGTATGACCAGGTGCGTCCCCGCCGCCGCGCTGCCCCACGGGACTGCGGCCTGCCGTGCCGCCCGAGCCGACCGGCCACGCCCCTCCCTCCAGGTCACTATCTGGGAGGCGCTGACCAACAGCAAGCCGGGCACTCACCCCATGTCCTACGAGGCTCGCCGACAGGACAGGTCAGTGCCCGCCTGTCCTGACCTAGCACCCCTCCCCCGAAATAACACATGCACGGAGTCCCTCAGGACGCTGTCGCAGTGGGTGAGGACACCAATGGCTGGGCGGCCCCTCGTGGCCCCAGGAAACCGTGGTACCCTCCGTAGGGCCCCTACTGGTTTGCAGAAGGCTTCCGCTTCCACCCCCACCCTTTCCTCACTCCAAAAGCAGCCTGAAGGTCTTCAGACCCTTACCGGGCAGGATGTTAGGGCTGGCATTCTAGAAGATGCCCACACGTGCTGGTGCACCGTCAGCTGCGAGGATGGGCTTTGTAGGGGCAGAGATCTGTCACAACTGGGTGGGAGCCAGGGAGGTGATGCAGGACTCATCGCCTCCAGCGGAGGATGGCGAGGCCTCCTCTGTCCTGGGGCCCCCATGCAGTCTCCCGGCCCCGCGCCCCGGAACCCTCGACGTATCTTACCCGCCCCCAGGAGCGCCCCGCCCACGCCGCAGCGCCAGCCCGCGCCCCCCGCGGCCCTGGCGTCGGTGCCCAGCCCTCGGCCCAGCCCGCGCCCGGGCGGCCACGTGTTCCGGAGCTACGACGAGCAGCTGCGGCTGGCCATGGAGCTGTCGGCGCAGGAGCAGGAGGAGCGGCGGCGGCGCGCGCGCCAGGAGGAGGAGGAGCTGGAGCGCATCCTGCAGCTCTCGCTGACCGAGCAGTAGCGCCCGCGGCAGGACCCCTGGGCCCCGCCTCGCCCGCCCCGCCCCGGAGCCAGACTCGCTCGGGCCCGCGTGCCCGCCGGGCGCGGCCGGGAGACTGGAGCCGCAGCCTCGGGGCCGGAGAGGCGCCCCTGGCACCAGACGGGCAGGGGTTCGGCGAGGTCGCGGGGTACCTGTCCCGGCCAGGGCCCCGGAGGCAGCTCTCACGGCCCGGTCCCCCCTGCTTTGCTGTATCCTGACGCCCACCACTCTATCCTGGGCGCAGACTTGTCCGAGGGGGCCAGGCCGTCCTGAGGGGGAGGCGGGTCCTTAGAGGAGCAGTGTCCCCCATCCCTCGCTCCTTCTGGCCGGTCCTCCTTTTCTGCTCACAGAACCCACTGTAGGACACTGTCCGTGAAGCCTTTGCATCTCCGCTCTTCACCCCAGGGGGGCAGCTGAGCTCCCCACGTGCTGTGTTGCTGCTTTGTCCCAGACACAAACCAGCACGTCGAGGGCCCAGCTCCTCTTTCACCCCGGCATTTCAGCGTCAAGTGCACTTAGCGGGGTGCCCGGCTTCCCCAGCCCCCCCCACGCCCCTCCCGGGTCTCAGGGTGGTCCCAGTTTCTCCTTGGGCGGCCAGAGGTTGGAGTCCCCATGCCCACGGCACGCTTTTGTGATCAGGGAGGGTGTCCAAGGTGCACCCCCCCCCGCCTCTTCCCCCCCACCCCCCGGCCTGGGCAAGGCCTGATTTCTTCATGATGTCTTGGCAAATGGGGGACAATATTTTGGGCTGGGGGCGAGCACTAGACCCTGTCCCCTGGCCCCGCTTATGGGCAGGTGCACCCTGGAGCCCTCTCACCGGCTCAAGGCCCTGGCACCACCACCCACCCCTTCCCACCAGCTGCTGCTAGCCCTCTGTGGTCGTGTGTCCCACCTGCCCCCAGCCAGGGGCTGACTCTAAACCCTTCATCCAATGGTGCTAACCCCCGGCTCTCCCCTGCCCCACCCCACCCACCCAGAGAAGCACAGACCCCGCTAGGGGCAGGGGCCCATCGCACACCCTTGTCCGCCTTCTCTCAGGCTGGCCTTCCTGGCTCAGCCAGTGAGGCTCAGCAGGGACACAAAAGGGACGGAAGAAAAGAACAAAGAGAAACTGTTCCTCTCACCTCCTTCCCTGATGCCAGGGGCACCGGACTGACTCTGAGGCACAAATAAAAGAGGCTTCAAACCCGAGGCTTTTCCTGGCTGGCTTTACTGGGGGAAGAACGCCCACCTACCGGTGGGGGGTTCCTTCTGAACCTCGGTGTGGGGAGGGCTCTGAGGTAAAAGAATGCCCGGTGGGTCCTGAGCATGTCAGCACCCCCACAAACCCGGGGTGGGGTACAGCATTTGCAGAGGCCGGGGGTCTTGGCCCCCTCACCCCCAGGCATGCAGGAGGCACACACCTAGCACGTAGTAAAATATTTCATTCAGTGAGTCTTGTTTTCCTTCTAGAGCCAAAGCCACAGCACAGGGCTGGGGGCCGTTGCCGGGGGGGGGGGCGGTGCCGGGGGGGGGGGGCGGAAAGAGGGATGTGAACCTGCTTCCATGCTAGTTTTCTGGTTAGTTCTCCGGCGGGGCTGCAGTGAGGAAGCCGCCCTCTCCCCTGCGGGTGAAAAAAAGGGAGCCAGCCCCTCGCCATAGCCGGCAGGGTGTAACCGGTGGGCTCGGCCCTTCGGCCAACGGGCTGTGTATGTCTGTGGAACTCGGGGGGACGCCCATCCGGTTTACCACTTCGGGTAGCGGAATCAAGTGAGCTGATTAGAGGGACAAGCGTTGTAACTTTCCCCAATCGGTCTGGCGAGACCCGTCGCATCACCACCCCTTTGAGCTCAAGCCCAAGCTCCCCGACACCCCCAAGAACAGCGCTAATACTAAGCACTTCCCCTGCCCTGGGCGGGAGACAGAAGGGACCCCGCCTCGCCGTGCAGCACCATTGCTGAGGTCCCCGTCACCCCGGGCCTCCCAAGGCCAGCTCCTGCTGAGTCCCGGACGAGGCAAGTGGCCAGGCGGGTGCCAGGCAGACGCGAGTCTCCGCGACGCTCCGTTTGTCCAGGCCTCCCGCGAGGGCAAGGAGTTCCCTTCCCAGTCCCGCCCCCGGCCCCAGCCCGGAGAGGCGGGGTCCGGAGTTCCGGACCAAAAGCCGGGGCGGAGCCGAGTCCTGCTCCCAGCCCGGCTTCGCCCCCCACCTCCCCCCGCCCCGCCCCGGCTCGGAGCTGCACCCCGCGCGCCGCACTAGTCCGTGCCGTCCACCAGCCCGCACAGCATGTTCTCCAGAGCGGTGATGCGCTGCTCCTGGGCCTGCACCTGCTCGCGAAGGGCCTTGATCTCCTCCAGCAGCGTCTCCAGAGTGTGCTGCTGCTGGGGCGCGGAGGACAGAAGAGGCTGTGTCGGGGGGCGGGGAGGGGGATGTGTAGACTGGGCCGGGGTGGAGCGGAGCCGGATCTTACCGACAAGGGGGCGTCGCTGGCCGACTGGCTGCGGCGGGGGCCGGCGGGAGGGCGCACGTCCAGAATATTGCGCTTGGTGACCCGGAGCTCGCGGTGCTTCGGAGGCACGTAACCGTCCCTCAGCGAGATGAGCACGGGTTCGGCATCCTGGCCAGACAGCCACTCGTCCGCTTCTAGGGCTGGCTCGGGGCCGGGAGTATCTGGGTATAGGTCATCCTGGAACAGGTCTGACTGCGGGGGTTCGGGGGACAGGAAGACTAGTGTTCGCAGAGGGCCGGGCCTGCTCCGTTCTCTTCCGCCTCGGAGCCCCCTCCGCGCCCCCTCACCTTGCGGGGCACAGTCATGATGATGGGCTCACATTTTCTTTCGTGCAACTTGTAGAACCTATAAGGGAGGGAGCGGGGTTCAGCACCCCCGCCGGCTCCCACCCCCTTTTCTGCCTGGGACCAATAGGTTGGAGAACAACACTTGCTGAGCCCCTACCATGCACTGCACTTCAAAACACATTATTGGTCCAACTGGTAAAACATCTCTGATGGCGTGTTTATCATCATTTTCATGACAGATGAGGAAAGTGAAGTTTAGAGAATGTCAACGCTGGGGCTGGCACCGAAACAAGCCTGTTTGACACTCCTCCCCCCCCCCAAATACCCCCACTCCTTCCCAAAGATTACACGAGGCGAGAAGCCCCTGTGTCTTCCCCGATGGCAAGTGGGAACAGACATGCAAGCGAGAAGGGCGAAGGCTGCTGACCGGGCGATCTCACACTTGCTGACGTCTAGCCCCCGCTTGGGCATGAAACCCATGCCTCTCTGAGGTTCCTTGCTGCTGAACGTGTTCAGGTAATGCACGAAAGGTGGTTCGTCGGTAATCTCAAAGTACCGAATACTGCTGTCGCCCTGCAAAACCAGTCGGTTCAGAGACGCTCCCAGGCGGGGCCCTCGACATCTCTACCCAGCCCCTGTACTGCCCTGCCGGCCCCAAGCACCTTGCCGCAAAGGTAGACGATGCTGGAGTCGGGGTCGTAGAAGGGCAGTAGGACCCCGTTGCTCGTGTCCATCTCCTGCAGTGCCACTGGCTCCTCGAAGTTGTTCTGCCCGAGCACAGGAGGCGTGACCAGCCCTGTCCCGGCCACCGTGCCACTGCTGGATCCCCTGAAGCCCCTTTACACTTCCTACCCGCTGCAAACCCCGCGCGTTCCCAAGGCGGCTTTGGTGAACCGAGCTGCGGGTCCCTCCCATGGGCCCATCACCCCCAGTGCCCCGCACAAATAGCCCCTGCGCCGCCGCATGCAGTCACCGCAAACCACCCCCAGGGACTCGGCATCACCAGGTGGGGGGTGCCGGCGTGGGCTCCTTCAGGCGACGCAGCAAAACTGGGCAGAGGGGTGGGTGTGGGGATGGCGGGCGCTGCAAAGGGGGCAGCAGCCTCCAGCCCAGTCCAGGTGGGCATGCCCTGCGGGGGGGGGGCGCCTGGCCCCTCTCCCGTGATGCCAGTCCCCGGGGCACACACCCCAAGCTTCCAGCTGCGTTACCGGGTCCCACAGGCCCAGCTCTCGCTGGCTCATGCGGGTGAAGCCCGTGGTGAAGATATGACCCTGGCGCGTGAAGACGGCCCGCATGGGCCTCATTCCCTCGTGGGCCGCAAACCTCTCCTGGGGGGAGGGGGAGACAGGGAGAGGCGTCACCCAGCTGCCTGCCCTAGGGAGCCTGGAGGGACGAGCAACCAGCTTGCTGACTTTGGCGGGGGAGAGAGGCGGGTGGGGGTGGGGGTGGGGGGGCGGGGAGGTTGGAGACAAAAGAGGGCCTAACTACTCAGCTTCCGGGGGGGTGGCGTGGGGGGACCCGGCTTGGCCCCAGGCCTGGAGAGCGTCTGCGCCCGGAGAGAGCGGGAGGCGCGCGCCTCTCGGCAGGTCCCGAGCCCTGAAGCGCCCTCAGAGGCTGATCCCTAGAGCAGGGGAAGTCGGCCGGCTCCCCGGGGTCGCAGCAAGGCTTTTCCCAGACGGGAGCTCCCCGCTCCGCTTCCGCCTTCTCGGGCACCGGCCACGGCCTGGGAGGGCGCTCCGGGCTGGGCCAGCGAAGGAGCGAGCGCGCGCGGCCAGCGCGGCCTGGCCTACCGGGTCCCAGAGCGCGACTTGCCGCTCACTCATCCTGCTGAAGCCGGTGCTGAGCAGCTTCCCGTCCGCAGTGAAGACGGCCCGCAGTGGGCGGGCGCCCTCGTGAGGCCGGGCTCGCTCCTGCTCGCGGGGTTAGTGGGTTAGAGCGCCCGCCGCGCGCACTCGGCGCAGACATGCACGTGCCCCGCGCCCCCGCACCCCGCGTCCGAGTCAGGCTGCCGAGGCGGGTGCCGCCGCCCTCCCGGGGCACCGAGCTAGGACTAACAAGGCGCGGGGGTGGCCCCCTCTCCCCACCCCCTCTTCGCCCAGCGGGTCGACTCGGGCAGAAAGGGGCCCGCCGGAGAGCCAGTGTCGGGCCCCAGACCCTGGAAGATGGCGCTGGGTGCCGGCCGAGAGGAGAGGGGTCCGGGATGTGTCATGCGGGTTCTGGTGGAAGGACAGAGCTTGCAGCGTCTCCCCTGCTCAATTACAACTCGAAGAGCACTGCTCGGAGCTTCTCAGATGCCGGGGAACGGAGGGAACCATTCCCCGGCATCTGGGGTGGGGAGTAGAGGCGGGACTGCCTCGGGTTGGGGTGGGGGAGGCGAGAGCCGGCACTAGGGACTCAGAGGATTAAGGGCACAGGGGCCTGACAGTTGGTCCCTAGGGTAGGGGCTGGGGGATGGCCAAGCCAGCCACTCACCGCCACCACCTGGCCCTTGCGGGGGTCGATAACGCGCAGGGTCTTGTCCTTGCAGGTGGTGGCTAGCAGGCTACCGTTGCTGTTCCAACACACGCTGTGGATGACGTCCGGGTGCATGTCGTCTAGACTCAGGAGCACCTCCCCAGTGCCCACATTCCAGATGAGGATCACATTGTCACCACCTGCCCGGAGCAGCCCGTCACCGTTACTTGGGTCCTGCCTTTGCCCCCACCCCCCACGCGGCCCCATCTACAGGAGGAACCCCTCCCTCTGCCCCCAGACCTGCACTGAGCAGGACATTCCGGGAAGTGGGGTGCCAGCAGAGGATGCCCACACGTTTGGAGTGGCCCTCAAGTGTCAGGATGGGTTCCGTAATGTTGCGCATAGGGGTGTAGTCTGGAATCTGCCACACCTGGGAGGGGAGAAAAGGCGTAGGGTCAGGGCGATGAGGAGACTGCTTTGTCCCTCTACGCCTCCCCAACTTTGTCCCCCACCCCCACCCCTACTGGCTGTCTTGAGTGGTAAGGGTCAAATGCAGGGCAAGATGTAATGATGCCTGCCCAGGGCAGAAGCAGCTGGGAGCCAGGAGGGGGCACTGCCCGCTCTCCAGGGACCTCTCTAGACACCCCAGCCAGGAGACTGACTGCAGAGTACTGCCCCTTGCTCTTCAGGCCTCAAGTTGGCCATGGCTATAATTAGTCCTAAGAAGTGCATCCTGGGAGGGGGTGGGCATGTGGCTAAATATAGCCTGGGAGCTGGGCAGGGCAGGGCAGGGCCCTGGGACCCAGCACCTCTTTTACCACCTTCCCTAGCGCAGGTGAGGCAGCCCTCCCCCCTCCCCCTGCCCAGCTGCGCCGCAGCATCCACCTGGTTCCTACCATGACCGTGGTGTCCTCTGAGGCACTGGCAATGACGTTGTCATTGTGTGGGCACCAGTCGATGTCCAGCACAGGAGCAGTGTGCCCAGTGACCAGTGGGTAGTTCTTATCCACGCGTCCTGTCTGGAGGGGTCAGAGAGGGAGCTCCAGGGTTACTTTCCTGTGTGCTTTTTGGGGGTGGGCAGTGACCTGTTTACATCTCAATACTCTATCACCTCTTTTCTCTTTGCGAACCCCTTTCTGCACCTCCAACCCCATCCAACTATTCCTGTACTCCACTGGAGGCAGACAGAGTTGAAGCCATTTAATATCAGGGAATCAGACTCAGAGAGGTAATGGCTTAGCCAAGGACACACAGCAAGATACCTGTGGAGCCAACACCTGAACTCTCAGTCTAGCGCTCTTGCAAAAACACCTCCTTGGAGGAGACTGTTGTTGGGCCCGTCCGCCAGCTAGAATGTCTATAGGAATCCCCTAGTAGAAGAGGTCAAGGGGAGGTAATATGCAATGCAGTGGCCAACAGCCCTTTCCCAGCCACCCTTGGCAGATCTCCCCCTTGTCACTGGCTTGACCTTGGAACCACCAGCAGCAGGCACTCCTGGTGCTTGCTGTCCCCCAACCTGAGCTGGGGCTCACCTACTTTTGGTCTTTACAGGCTTTTTATGGGGGGGCTCTGAGACCTTTGCAGGGGCTGGCATCAGTATGGGAGAGGGGTGGCCGTGTGGCACTGGAATGGCCGTTGTACTGGGTGAGGAGGTGGCTCCAGTTGAAATTTGAGCCCCGGAGATGGTGTCCTTGGACGATGTCTGCATTGTCACAGAATGAGTCACTGGCTATTGTCAGGCCTCTTCCTGACCCTGCCACCTGCGGGGTCTCCCTTAGCAAGGTGTAGGGACCAGATCAAGGTCATGACTTGAGGTGGCCAACCTGGGGGGTGGAGATTTCCAAGGGGTTTGAGGTTCCTCAGCAAAGGGGGTGGTAACTGCCCGGCCCCCATCCTGGGGTGGGGAAGGCTCTGGCCTTATGTGTGATATCCCCCTGCCCTTTGTTTTCATTCTATCTCACTGTAAGAACCATAGTGGGGAGGTGACCAGGACTCTTTGGAAAGAGCTTGACCCTTTCCTCAGTGTGCTGCTCTGGGGTGTGATTTAATCAAATGGTCACCATGCACTGGGGGAGAAAGATCATGAGGGGGTGTGGCATTGGGCAAGTCAGGAACAGAATCTGGGTCAGGCCCTGGCTCCCCTGCTTCCCATAACTATCTCCATAACACCCTTCTGGTCCCTGCTGGCAAGAGGCTGCTGCTCGGAGAAGGGGACGGGCTATGTGTGGGTGCAGCCCGCCATGCTGCTGCTGGTCTGGGCAGGGTGAGGGAGCCTCCGACTTGGTCCCCGAGGGCTTAGGGAACAGGGAGCCGCCAATGGACACAAACAGCCCTCCCGAACGAAGGAGGGGTCCCCAGCGGCCACAGCCAGTGTCTTCCCCCCTGCTTTCTTCCCCTCATCCCTCACCTTGGCCAGAGGCAGGACAATGAAGGCACCTCCACCTCCAGCCTCCACAATAATGGCCAGGAATTTGGGGTTGACGGCACAGAAGGAGCTGTCCCATGTGACCTTGGACACACGGATGTCCTCGTAGGACTGGTCAGCCTTTGCCGCCTGCCCAAACACATGGCGGAACTTGCTCTGCCGAACCACACGCCGGCTCATGGCGGTGGGTAGAAATGGAGGATCTCAGTGCCCAGGAGTGCCTTTGGTCCTTAGTCCTGTGAGCTGTGGGAGGAAGGAAGAGCAGGGAGGGGGTGGCAAGTGAGAAGGGTTATCTGGCTATGAGTCAGGTCCTAGAACAGGGAGCTTTCTTCCAGGTGATCAAAGAATGGCAAAGGGAAAGGTCTTTGCCACCTATAAAGTGCTGCTTAAAATTTCAAGGGGCTAGGATTTGGGGCCTGACTTCTCCTTTGAGACCCACGCAGGCAACAGCAGAGTTTGACTGGGCCTGAAAGCTTCCTGGAAGTTGAAGTGGTTTGGGGAGGAGCCTCAATGCCAGGCTGCCCTCCTGCTGCCAGCCTTGGATGAGCATCTCTTCAGGAAATGGTTTCTCTCCCAGCTGCACCTTGTCCAGAATCAGAGGCCTTGGTCCTGGGATCTTGGCTCAAGGCCAGCTATGGGGCTAAGACTGCAGCCCCCCAAGATCCCAAACTCTGCATCTCTAACATAGTTCGGGCAGATGGGCTCTTGTCTTTGTCTAAAATTTTGCCAAGGAGAAGTTCCTCCTGCCAGCTAACCGAGTGTGTCCTGCTACTGTTTTCATCAATTTCCTCCCATCCTGTTGGGGGACGCAGTGTAAGGTGGATCTCTCCTCTTTCCACTCCTCTCTTCACATGGTCCTAATCATGGTCTGGCTTTTGCCTACCATACTTCCGTCCGGCTTCTCCTATGGGTCCCCTTTCCTGCTGAACTCTCCTGGGGTGGGGTCCTCACCGTCCCCCCTGCCCCCGCGAGGGCCAGATTTGCAGGAGTGGGGAGGGTGAAGTGCCTTTTCTTCAGCCAGGGTCTGTGCTATGCTCTTCCCCAGGGGACTCACCGAGCTTTTCCAAAGCCCTATCCACTGACTCCTGCCCCTCCCCAGCCCCGGGCATCCCTGTGCCCTTCACGCCGCTTCTGCGGCCCCAGGCCTGAGGCCCGGGCCTCTCCGCACCCTCCTCCGGCCTCCTGCCCCCGCACTGCGTTCTTAGGAGACGAGGTGACGGGGCCGTGCAAGGAGCGCGGGCCGCTGTCCGGCCAAATATAGACACCGAGTCCGCCCCGCCCGGGACCGAATTTGGCGGCGTGGGGGAGGGGGCGCAGATCTTTGCCCCCTCGAGAGACCCCGCCCGCTGCGGCGGCTGCGGTGGGGGCGTGGGATGTGGGGGGGGAGTGTACCTGGTCCTGAGTGGGCCGAGGGGCGCTCACTCTGCGACTCCTCTGCTGAGGGGGCTAGGGGTGCGCTGGGGGCCGAGAGAGTCAGGGTGCCGGAACTGCCTCTCCGGGTGTCCGCGGCGTCTGGGGCCCGGGTGTTCCTCTGCGCGCTCGGGCCGCTGCTTGCGGCTCTCCGGAGCCCGGCGTCGCCGCAGTCCCAGCTGCCGCTGCCATCAACCTGCGGGGGCGGGGCCTACGTTGGGGGCGGGGCCAGAGCTGCCCCGCCCCTCCAGCGGCGGGAAAGTCGAGCGCGGCCGGTTCCGCTCCGCCAGCCCGCCGGGCTCAGAAAACTGTCAAAAGTAATTGAGTGTGTACGCGCGGCTTGTGCGCACTCCTTCCCCGCCCTCCGTACCTCCCGGGTGGGCTGGGCAGACCCAGGTTCCCAGACCCAGGCTGGGCGCGGGGAGGGAGAGCCGGCAGCCGCGCAAGATCAGGTGCCTTCGCGCCGCATTCCTGCAGCAATCGCGCTCCCAAATTAGCCTGTCCAGGCCGGCGGCCCCAGGCTGCGGGACTGCACGTCCAGACCCTCCTGGGGAGAGGTCCCGGAAGATGCTTCGAGGGAGTCTCCCCAGCCCTTGGATGAGGGCCTAGGCTCGCCCAGGGCAGCTCGAGGGTACCCGACAGGGGGCTGTGAATGTCGTTTATTGTTATTAATGGCTATAGCGACCACTGGAGAACCTAAAACGTTGGCACTATAACTAGGCATTTCATCAAGTTAGAGAGGATTCCGTGGAGCAGGGCAGAAAGCAGACTAAAGACTAGGTGGGGGAATGAATCCACCTTGACACCGTGGGAACACCAGGTTCAAGGAGAAGCAGCTGCCACAGGCCTTTGGCAATCAAATTTTATTTATTTTTAAAAAAGACTTTATTTGAGAGAGGCAGAGAGAACGCGAGCATGAGCGGGGGCGGGGGACGGGGGAGGGACAGAGAGGCAGAGGGAGAAGCAGACTCCCCACTGAGAGGGGAGCCTGTTGCAGGGTTCCATCCCAGGACCCTGAGATCATGACTTGTGCTGAAGTCAGACGCTTAACCAACTGAGCCACCTGGGCGCCACAGCAATCAAATTTTAGTTGCCCAGCCTAATTCCAAATGAATTCTTCTGGGACTTGTTTAAATTGCTGCCCAATTGTGTTCCAAACAAGTCCCAGCCACCCCCCCCCCACTCCCCCTGGGACCCAGGGATCTGAGTATTGATCAAGGTTAAGGAGGAAAGAAAAACAAACCTGATCAAAATACAGCCAGTGAAGAACAACTAGTCCCTGAAGCTGCTGTACATCCAGCACCCACCCACTGCCTAGATTTCGTGCTTTGGATCATAAGGCCCTGGAGGCAGCATGAGGCCAGTTATTACCTCCTATTCTCCAGGGCACACCTGGGAATCAATGGAACAGCCTTCTGGAGGGCAGAGATTAGCATTGGGGGTTAAGAGGAGGGAAGGTGGTTGGGAACCCCAATGGCCCACCCAAGGCTCCTTCTCAAGAAGAGTCCAAGTATCCAGTGGCTTGTAGGGGAACAGAATCAGAAACTTACAGGTACTCCAGAAATAATTCATGGCACAGAGGGCCATAAGGGTAGATGAGTCTCCCTTTTACCTAAAGATTCCAGGCACATGATTAGGAGGGAAAGACCTGAGTTGTTCAGTGGCTCCTTAATAACAATAGGTCACAACTTTACACATATTAAGTTCATTCTGATAACAGTCTTCTGTGATAGCTATTCGTAGTATCCCTGTTTTATAGGTGAGGAAACTAAGGCACATAGAGATTAAGTAGTTTACCCATCACTCAACTGGTAGTGGGTGGAACTACTTTTATCCAGTGGTCTGGCATCTGGGTCCATGCTATTCAGCACCATGCATTTTTGTTTCCTCTTGAAGAATAGTGCCACTTTATCTCATAAATGCTGATACTGAGGGTTAGTTTTTGTGGCACAAAGGATACTTGGAATAATTAGAAAACTGGAGTTCTGGCCCTGACTCAATCACCCCAGTTTTGCAGTTCTCTGAGCTGTACAATGAAGAGGGCTGGGTCAGGTTCCTTCCAACTCTGCACCACCTGTTGGCAGACAAGGGATTCGACACGCTGCCTCCTACCTTGAAATGACCTTTTCTTTCCCCTTTCCTTTCCTCTTTAAAAAGGACTCCATTCTAGAGGCAAGAGTCTGAGACTAGGAAGTAGGAATCCTTTAATCCATCCTGCCTTCAGTTCTATCATCTGAAAAGAGGGGTGCTCTCCAGGTACAGAAGCAGGGACTCACAGGTATCACTTGGACCAGGCATGCCTCTCAGGTCTGCCCTCTGGGCTTTCTTCTGGCTGCCAAAGCTTGGCAGAGAGTGGGCGGGCAGAGCCAAGGCATAAAGAACTAATCAGGGGAAGAAGCCACTTGGGCTAGGGTGCTTTCCTGTGTGGTTAACCATTTGAACTCTTAGCTGGGCTCTGAACTACAATCCGTAGAAGACAGGCATGGATTTTGTCTTTCATAAAGTCATTTTCTGGAAGAGGTGGCCTGGCAACTTAGACATAATTTGCTTTGGCTATAAAGACTTAGCTTATCTAGACAGGTCAGTGACTCCAGGCACCCCTAGAAAACATTGTGAAATGACCTTGCCTTTACCATCATGCACTCTGGTACTCCAGCCAGACCAGTCATGTGTCTCTCCTACTTGATTTGGACAATTCAAAATGCAGTGGGCCGACTTAATTTTAGTTCAACGCAGTATTTTCTCTAGACACATCAATACTTTGTTTTGCCAGCACTTTGGAAACTGAGCTTTCCCTAGATAATAGTGATGAATGGTGCCACTACACAGCTCATGATGGGTCTATGGAGGAGTGGGAGAAGTGGAGAACTGCTCCCTCCCACACCCAGCCTGTTTTGGAGAATGGCCTGTCAGCCCCATCTCCCTTCTTCAACCATTATCCAGTGCTTCTCTTCTAATGGCAGGAGATGGTTAAAAGCTTTTACTTCTTTAGAAAGTCATGCCCCATTTCCAGAAATCACTCAGTGAGCTGAGGTGGCTTGTGCTGAAAGTTTGTGAGCTCTATCTCACTGCTGTCCAGAGGTCAGCGACCCAAGAAATCTAGTCCCTGCTGGGGCAGGTCACAGCAGCTGTGTCCCAGAGCAGTCTGTACCACACGTGGCAGAGAAGTTTTGGTCCCTTTGCTTATTCATTCTCCTAACATTCAGGTGGTGGCTTTGGCAAGACCTTCTTTGACCAGGCAAGTTCCCAGCTTGGTCACTTGATTGGAGCCACAAAGTCTGAAATAATCTTTGGTGATTCTATCCAGTCCTTATTTTGTAGGAGGTAGAAAGTTGTATTTTTTTCCCCAGAGCTCAGCTAACTCTTAAGGACGTGCCCGATGGAGATCAAGAATTGCTCCATGTGCCCTACTGCTCACCAGTGTTCTCTCCCAATCCCTCCACCTTCTCTAGCACCGCCTCCCCCCCCTTTTTTTGCATTTGATGAAATACACGTGTCATCTTCAAAATAAAAATTTATTTAATCTGTAACAAGAACATTGAATCTGCACATTTGCGCACAAGTTCACATTTAAAAACAGCAGAGCACATCAGTAATAAAAAAAATCTATGATACAAGTGGAACATCCCAACCACCAGGAAGATTAAGGAAGGAGATGAGACCACTCTTTATATTCTGCTTCAAATGCCTCAAAAAGGTCCCAGAGATTCCAGGGAGCACCTGCTTTAATAAAATGTGAGCATAAAAGTTCAGACTGGCCTGGGGCAAAGGTAACAGTCAGTGGGAGAGTCTTTTGGGGTTGTTTTCTACATTTAGAACAAGTCCTACAAAATAAAGTAGAAAGAAAAAAAATAAAAGGCACCTTAAGCTATGCCAGGCAAACCAAAATCCAAACCAAACCAAACCAAACCAAACCAAACCCACAAAAACCAAACAATCCCCTGTGGGCCTGTTGACTGAGAATCATTTCAGGGCCAGTTCCCCAGCTTCCAGCTTGGGTCATCAGCTGGAATGAAGCCCTGGGTATTAGCTCTGCGTGTACAGAGGACGCTGCCACCAGTGTTGCTGTGAGGACCCAGATGGCAGCACTAGTCATATACCCTCTGAGGCATCTTCCAGCTGATGCGGGATGATTCCAGTTTAGAAATCCTGTCCTAGATCTCTGGGGCACTGAGAAAATGAGGCTGGTTTTTTCATAGCAGGAGCCAGGCCCCGTCACCCTCCACTTCCAGGCTGTAAAAGTACACAAGCACCTTGCAATAGCTCTCCATGGCATCAAGGGACCCCAAAGCCCTGGGACAAGGGTTAGGAGTGCGCAGCTTCCCGCTTTGGTGGCAGGCTTTTTCCTAATATGGGTGTCAGATGAGTTGAGGCAGCAAATACATTTATGCCTAATACATGCCTTGATCTTTTAGTCTGGAAGGGAAAACAAAGTCCAAGATACCTTTCAAGTTGGATTGGTGCTGAAAGAGCTAAAATTTCATCTACCATCAAAAAGCAAAACAAGCTTTAGACAAAAATGACACTAGCCATTCACCGTTATAACCATCACTGTAAGACACACCATCACTGACTGAGGAAAGGGCTATTTCCACACAGAGTGTTGAACGGGAGTGCAGGACACAGATGGAAGTCAGGTCCAAGTCCTCCCCAGCTCCCCTCGAGTAAGGGCTGACCACCACAGCCTTGCTCTGCGTGAGGACTCCGCAGGACAGCCAGGGCCGGGTGCCTGGAGGAGGGGACCGAGTGGCTGTCAAGAGGATGCATGTTTTAATTACAATGTAAACAAAGTATCCACAAACAGTTGTCAAAAAGAGCCAAAGAATGGCTTTATTTAAAAAATTTAAAATGCCCTTAAAAGTGACCCTCTTTGCATAATGCTTTCTTTCTTAAAAGAAAAAAAAAACCTCCCACAGAAACATCTCTACCAAACATGCCTAGATCACTATAAAACAAATCCTCAGATGGAACAGGTGAAGATTTTTATGAGCTGCTATGTCTGAGAAACTTCAGGTCTATCCAAAAGTATCTGTCTGGGGCCCTTGAGTCAGAGGGGACCTCAGAGCCTGGGCTGTCATTCTCAGGTTGTCCTTGGAGCTCTTGGTAGTTTCCCAAATATAAAAGAGTTGGGATAAAGGTACAGAACCAGGAAAATGCTAGATAAAGAGCCTGGAGAAACTGGGGTGCTAAGAATGATCCCAAACATTAAGACTCTGAAAGGCAACCAAAATGAGAGATGAATATTACTATAGTACAGTACTATAGGTCTACTACAGTATATACTACTCCTACGTGTTTCTAAAATCAGGAAATGGTTGAAGTTTCTCTCCTTCCTGCTGACAGGTAACCCTCCAGATTATAGCTCAAAAGTTGTGTGCTCCTGGGGCTTCTACCCCATGCACCAAAATGTTACTTTTTAAAATGTTTTTGCACATGTGTGTGTGCGTGCACACACACACACACACACACACACTCTTTCTCTCTCTTCTCCAGAGTAACTGAGAGTCAGACTATGGTGGTTTTCAAAATAACGATAAAGAGAGGCACTGAACAAGAGGTCAAGACTTTTTCTACTCATCTCTGTCAACCTACCAGACCTGCTGTTCTGGGTCTGAGTTTTCCATGAACAGAAAAGGGAAATAAGCCACCCGAGATTATCAAAAAGTCTGAGGACAAGAAAGTCTAAGTCCTTGATGGCTCATCATATACTTCCCCTGGACATCGCTCAGCTTGCAAATAACACATGAACACTCAGTTGTGGGGGTTTGAGAGGCTGGCAAAACCCCATGGCATGGTTGAATTACAGACCCCGAACGGAGGATGTTTATTGAGGCAGGTAGATTACATGATAACCAAGAATGTAATTTAAAAAAAGGAAGGCAGAGCAAGACTATTTCCTTTTTCTTTAAAGAAAAGTTTTCTTCACAGCATTAGAGGATCTCTTCCCCACCTCTGTTGTTACTTATTGCAGGGATAGTGGACAGTAACCGCAGGTGCAGGGGAGGAGAGAGAACAGTGCAATACTGTTGTTCCTGCTTGTATTAAGTTCTTAATGTGAGGGATGTCACCATTTCAAAGGATTAATGAGGGGACACCACTCTCTTCACCGCTGTGCAAATCCTTCTCTCCCTGCCCCTGCCACAACTTCCTGTCCTTTCCCTATCACACTGGTGGTGGCGGAACTGCCTCAACAGGGCTGTTCAGATGGATGAGTCCTGGAAATTCATAACCCTGTCTTGCAAGCCTCCTCACACTGGTACACACCACCTAACAGAAACACTTCACAACACATTAAACATCCAGGAACCACAAAGCTGTGTGGAGGATACATTTGAACATTTAAGGAAACTATTTAAGGACTGCACAGGTACATATAATTACTATATCATAAAACACTTAGAGCAGGAGGTTTCTGTCCAATCCACCTCCTGCACACCAACTGGATTCACAGCTCCCCTGGAGCACCTATGAATGGCTTCCATCCACCTTTTCTCTCTCCTGGAGGTCACCCCACTATCTGCTCCCACCAAGCTCTGGCCTCTGACATCCCCGACAGTCTGGGCATCTGTCTTTTCCTCTCAGTACCGTCCGTGATGAGCCAAAAACCAAAGCCCAAGGCTGTACTTGGTCAATCTCTCAGCAACATGGACATCAACCAAAGCAAACAGGAAGCAAATTTGCAAACCTCCTCAGTTTTGATGAGCTGCAGAAGGTATTTCATTCCAGGCTCAATGTTTTCTGTAAGAAGCCCAAATAGGCTTTTTATGGCAAGCGCTCCCGTGTTAAGATCTCCACAATAGCAGCAAAGCAAAAGCATCCTAAATGGAGTCATAATGGGTGCCTGCCCTTGGCAGGGGCCTTCCTACCGATGAACGCTTCAGCCCAATCCATGAGAAGCTTCCACCCGGGGCAGCAGTAACACTCACATACACTCCCTGGCTGTGGTTCAGCTCCTGGCAAACAAACAATCCGCTCTGGGATTTCAGTCTCCAAGAGAAATCAGCTTTCAGTCAAACTGTGATCTAATGGGAGCCTTTAGGGGTTTCTCTAAGGAAGAAGTTACTAACCCATAATTTGGCAGGGGATGGTGATCAGAAGTCCCCATTTAAACAAAACCACCATCAATATACTCTGCAGATTCCTACCAGCAACTATCAGTTTTATTTCTGTGGTGTCTGTGTGTTTTCTCCAGTTGCAGCTTTACTCCTTCTTAAAAAGATTAAATCAAAAAGATCCTACGACGACATCAACAAAACACTGTAAGAAAGTGACATTATGTACATAAATACTGTGTATAATGACAAATCTTTCAGAAGAAAAAAAAAATCCCATGTCAAGTGTTAACATTGATAAGAAAACTTTGCGTTCAACAGAGGTTATACGTAAGTAATGTAACAATTCAAATATCATCTATGGAATTTAAAAAAAGGGCAGCACTGGGAGAAACAGCATGAGGGAGGAAAGTAAATTGGAAAAAGATACGGCCATTAAACTCAGAAGGCCCACAGAATTATTCAAGTAATGGAAGTGTTAAAACCCTACGTATGTATTCATTTTACAAGAACACACTGACTTTCAACTGCTGTTTTTCAAACTTGTCCCTATTCTGTTTTAGTTGAAAGGATGTTGCAGAGCCCACTTCCTGGCAGGGAGGGCCAGGATGACCGCCTATGTGGAGCCCACTGACCCAGAAGATACTGGGCCACAGCTTCCGCAGACTTGGCCTCCTCCTCCTCCTCATATGCTTTCCTCTACACAGATCTCTTAGATTTCATTTGGGGTTCGCTTTTAATTTAAAAATTATGTGCCTCGGGCGGGGGAACTATCTGCTTGGTAAGTTTACAAAGCCAGCCAGTATCATGCCTTTCGATAATGACAGACTCAGGAATCCAGAAGAATTGGCTTCTGGAAGACCGCCCTTTGAAAGCAAAGCAGAACCTGCCCACTTTGGGAACTCTCAGTGGGCCAGGGCCCGAGGCTGAGAGCACGCACACTTGCGGCTGCTCTTCAGCCCCATCCCATGCATCAGGTCTGAAGCCCAAACCATCACCACACAGGCCCAGGGGGGCATTTCCGATTTCCAGCCTTTTTCTCAGAGGGCAAATGAGGAGCAGGTGGGAGCTGATTGAAAAACAGCAATTTGCCTTTGATAAAGGTGCTCTTTGAAAATGAGTATTTTTGAGGTTTGAATTTTCTAAAAATAAAAAATGCTAAAATGGTCTTGCTGTCCAAATCAATCTCTCTCTCACACACACATACACAGAGAAAAAAAAAAAAAACCCAAACCCCGCATGCGCCAGGAACAGTAAAATGACCAAAATATTATAAAATTAACCAATAAAGTGCATGTTCCTTACATATTACACCTGCCCCTTTTACAAACATTTCTTTCAGAAAGTCACATGTGTAGGCTCAGAATCACATGGTATTATAGAAGGGGTTGGTTGTCCGTTTTTTATCATTTGCTTTTTTTAGTCTCCTAAGGGGGTGAGTTCTGCCGTGTGGCTGACGGGGCGTCACAGCCAGCCCTGGAGCTGGGCCTGCACACTGCAGTCCCTGGGGTTGTGGCAAAGGAAGGCCTCCTTCAGAATTAGTCAATCTGGGTCCTGCCCTGGGAAGCAAACACTGCTGACTGTAACCAAATTCTTTGGCATACTGTACGATGGGCTTCTCCACTGGCTTGCTCTGCGCGATACACTCTGTTGTTTTCAGTTGCTCTATAAAATACTTGGTGGGCTCTAGGTTCTGGGGGGCATCTGGGTTTTCTGAAGGCTCCTGGGCCTCCATGGCATGCATGCCTGAGTCTGTTCTGATGAAGGGCTGAAGCAGTTTGAGATGAGGGGTATCAGAGGAGACAGGCTCTCTCTCCGATAAACAGTCTTTACAGAGGTCCAAGTAACCTAACTTGGCGAGCACAGCCGAATGCCTCATTTGGGATGGTTTGGTGAGCCCTCCCTGGCAAATCGCTCGGGACTCGATTTCTTTAGTGCGCTCCTTCACCACGCTGGGGCTATGGCTGAGACCCTTTATAATGTCACTACTAGAGCTATGTGGGAGGTGACAGGCTACAGGTAATGGGTCCAGTTTTTCTTGTAACTCCCCAATATTGTCAGTGAGTTGGCTTAGGTCTTCACTAGTTAACTGGGGGTCCTTGGACGGTACTTCATTGCCACTGGAAAAGGGGCCCTCCTGACTTTCTTCCCAGCTCTCCTGCTCTGAAGAGGGCTCATTGTCTGTGGTGCTGCTTTGCTCTCTGAAGCCTTCCAGGTGAACTACAGTCTGCGGATATGCGGAATCCAAGCTGGCAGATGGGACGTGGGTTGTGTGACTGACAAAAGGCCCTCCTGTCTCCAGGGCTGTCAACAGGCTGTCGTCCCAGGCTTCAGGGCTGCTCAGGGTGGAGGTCAGGTTGGTGGGACTGTCGTGGTCAGGAGGGGAATGAGGCAGAGGTAGCACGTTGGGGTGAGCCTGGGCGGGGCCCAGAGTCCTGTTCAGATTTTCATCCAGTGCACAGAGGACGGTGACGGAGTCCTCCACTTTCACTTTCTGCAGTCCTTGCTCCCCACTCGTGGCTCTTCCACTCTCTGGCCCAGGGTGATTGGGGGATGTAACTGTGTGGGTATACTCAATGATTTCCACCTTTTTGGGAAGGGAAAGAGGGCCTGCCTGTGTCTCAGATCCCTGGAATGAAACCACAGTCCTCTGCTCCTTCCGGACTCCTCCCTGCTTTGTACTAGTATCTGACCCTGGGCGCTCCTGAAACTCCAGCAGCTCAGGTGCTGGAACAATGGCATCTTGCTCAGAATGGGGTAGGGAGCCAGCTTTGGACCCACTGCACTTCCCTTTCCCCTTGCTAATCTCTGGTTCCTTAGGGACAAAAGAATGTTCAAGGGTAGCTTCATCACTCTTTCCTTTTGGTGCTAGGTCTGCCACAGCAGAATCATTCTTGGAATTCTTGCGAATGGACAATGAGGTACAACCAGGGGCAGCACCATGGTGCTCCTGCTCCTGTCGCAAGCGCTCTTCAAACTCCAAGGTAGCTCGCCTCACGGAACCAGGGTACCATTTGGCACCTGGGTGCATTCCTGGGCCCCAGAGCTCTTGTTCCTCCTCAGCTGGTTCCTCTTCTTCCAACTCTGTGGTGGATGAGTGTGTAGTTAAGCAGCCTTCTAGGTCCCACTTCCCTGAGTCTTTGGCTAGTTCAGGCTGGGCTGTGGAGGAACCCTCATTCTGCTCCAGATTTCCAGGTTTGTTCTCCAGGGCCTGAGCCCTCTCAAGGGGCAGCTCATGGATGGTGTGCTTCTTTGGTGTATGACATGGGTTAGATAAGATGTCTCCTTTCAGTTGAATCTGTCCGACTCCTTGACTGATGGATTCAATCTCAGTAACGATTTCTTTGACTGAAATTGCATTTTCTGAGTGAGACTGCATGAAGATGTCTGGGCTGACCAGTTCTGAGATTGCCTAGGGAGAAAACAGTGAGATGGTTATGGCAAATCATAGTCTAATTAAAAATGCCAGATGTTTTGCTTAGTAATCTTCTAATCCAGGAGAACCTTCTGGCTATGAGGACACAAATCATGGAGTGCCTGGGACTGTCCTCTGGCCAACTGTTTTGTCATACAAGGAAAAAAAAACCCAAAACAGATTCATCAAAGGAAGAGATACAAAATTTGTTACAGCTTGTATCACTGTCTACTAAACTTTTGTTCTGTTTATTTTTTATTTTTTTTAAAGATTTTATTTATTTATTCATGAGAGACAGAGAGAGAGAGAGAGAGAGAGGGGCAGAGGGAGAAGCAGGCTCCCAAGGAGCAGGGAGCCCGATGCGGGACTCGATCCCAGGACCCTGGGATCATGACCTGAGCCAAAGGCAGACACCCAACCATCTGAGCCACCCAGGTGCCCTGTTCTGTTTATTTAAACAGAATTCCAACCCAGTATCTTGCTTCAAAAATGAATAGCGGTTAGCCTTGGAGGTTCCTATAATCCTTACTTTTTTTTTTTTTTGAAGAATTTGAGAGAGAGAGAGATAGAGCGAGCAAGCAGGGGAGGGGGAAGGGCAGAATGAGAAGGAGACTTCTCGCTGAGCAAGGAGCCGGATGCAGGACTCGATCCCAGGACCCTGGGATCATGACCTGAGCCGAAGGCAGACGCCCAACCGACTGAGCCACCCAGGTGCCCCAATCCTTACTTTCCTAAGACCATTAGCCTTCAGGATTTAGGCCATACTGGGGTAGATGAGATTTTTCGTCTCTGGGCTATCAACTTCCAGTTTGAGTCTGTTTATTCTAACCTAGTTCAAGGGGAAGAGTTCCATTCAAGGGCTCAGTGACCACCTTCAATATGCCCAGTGTTAGGGTAAGATGAATGAGGTTATCATCTGATGTCTGATTTGGAGACTCACTGCTCTCTTCTCTCCTCTGTCCTGCCAGGGTCATCCTTACCCTTCCACTCTTGGCATCTCTTGGCAATAGCATTCCAGCAAGTGAGGGCACTCTGTACCTGGTCACACAATTTCCAAGTTTTGCATGGCTCCTTCTGGGAAAGGTTTACTTGGCTTATGGAGCCACATGCCTAAGCAAACTTAGAAACTGTGACTCTCTGATATATTACTGTTCTACCACTTATAAATTTGGATGGATTTAGATTGAGGCAAAAGAAAATTAGCCAATATAAAATCAAGTCCTATTGTTAAAAAAAAATGAATTTCAAAAGCTGAAAATGGCTGTTAGACATCTCTTAAAGTGGATCGTAACAACCATCAATCTGCTTTAACATTTTATTTATTTATTTATTTTTATTTTACTTTATTTTGAGAGAAAGAACATGAGCAGAGGGGAGGGGAAGAGGGGGAGAGAGGGAGCCCGATGTGGGGCTGGATCCCAGGACCCTGAGATCATGACCTGAGCCCAAGGCAGATGCTTACCTGACTGAGCCACCCAGGCGCCCCTACTTTAACATTTTTATAAGCCTTCAAAGTATAACATTTCCCTAGGAATTGTTCTGATCTTTCTCCTTCAAAAGAAAGTCAGAGCTAGCACAAAACAACAAGGTCAGTCACACCTTTGGGAGAAATCTGCTGGGATATTAGGCAGAGGTAAACTAGCCGAGACTGGGAGAGAAGCCACAGCAGGCCCAGTGCACAGGCTGTGGAGAGAGTGCTCATATGACGGGGGGCTTTGCAGAAAAGCTATTTCTGTCAGAGCTGCTACGCCCACTGGTCCAAAGGAGAGCTCAAGCATTCTCATTTCCCATTAAAAATGAAGCAGAGGCATAACCTCTGGGGAGAGAAGACAGAAGCAGAGGCAATGACTGCCCTGGGGTAAAGAGACAGAAAAGATAAGTCATGGACAAGGTGGTAAATATAAGTAGACAGCTATCAGGAGATGTCAAAAATGTAGTTACCTCCACCAAAATCATTAAGTGAAGTTTGATATGTGAGAGTAAATCTGTCACCATTTACTTCACAATTACTTTATTATACTGACCTAACATACCATTGTTTTTAAGATGCATCCCAATTTCAGAAGTGTCAAAATGAGAATAAGAGTGAGTCTTAGAATTGATACACAGTAGTTCTTTCCCTGGTCTGAAATGGCTCCTATGAGCTCATATGCCACAGAGAAGAATCTTCAGGGTCTGTCTGTTCTCAATCACTTCCCAAAACTATCCCTCAAATCTTGGATACCACAGGGTCTGAGATAAGGACCAATCAAGAAACATTATTAATAGCAAGAACTCAGCATGTGTTGCTACTCTAACAACTATTTACACACTGTCTAGTCTTTGAATTTTCTGAGACAGTATTTCCCAAACAAATCCATCTCCTCAGAGAGACACAGGTCTTACTCAGGCATCATGTCAGTCCCAGGCACTTCATTATTGGTGAGATTTGATTTGAACTGCAGAGGTCCAGGGAGGGGACCTCTCCTTGTTTAGGCAGGAGATTTATTTTGGCTACCCACCATCCCCATCCCCTCTCCAAAGTGCTTCCAAAGACACCAAAAGCTTGGAAAGATAAATTCCTCAAAAGGCAACGGATTTAAAAAAATTTTAAGCCTTAAGTTTTCAAGGAAAGTCTCAGCCACACTGTCTCTCCCATACTGCCTTCCTAAATCTTTAGCAACATTAAAAGTAAAACGAACACAGCAGAATCCCAAATATTTTGTCTTCCAAAAGAACTTCATTAGGTAGAGAACTACTTACTATAAAGATACTTTTTACCTTTGACTGTTCCTCATCTATTGAAGATTCCTCAGATGCATGGGGAGTATTACTCAAAGAGCTGCTTCTCTGGTCATCAGCTGTCCCTTCGGAAGGGGCTACTTCTACCACTGAGAGTCGACAGCTCTCACTCCTTCCTCCGCCCAGTTCTTCCATCCTTGAGTGGGAAAAAGATCGGGACCGGGTTTCTTGGGAAAGCTCTACAAACTTTTCTAGGGCGCTAAAAAAATCAATGCGATCTGTACTGAAATCTGAGACTTCAGCCTGGCAACTAGGTTGGGGGCTTGGTGATTCAGGATCAGGGGACATGGGAATGTCTTTCAGGCGAGATGTTAATTCTTCCAAAGGCAGTAAGTGGACGTTCACATCTGCTTTCAGAGCATCTGTCTCCAAATCTTCCACTGTTAAGTCTGGGAACTTGTTGGCAATTTCTGGGGCCTGTCCAGGTTGGATTAAGGCTTTGGATGCATGGCAGTTGTCAAGAGGGAATTTTGATTCATTGAGACAACACCCTGATGAGCATCCATTGATGTCATTTAGATTTAATTCATCTTCAATCTGTCCAGCATGAAATTCCCTAGAAGTAAACTCCAAGCAGATCATTCTTTCTTTGGTACACAGGCCCTTCTGATTTTCATCTTGTGGGACGACATGTTCCACAAAGACGGGAGGTATGGGTGGGTGATTCTCCATGGTCTTCACCTCGGCAATCTGGTCTGCTGAGGTGGTGATCTCCTTCTTGTTGAGTTCTAGCCCCGGTTTGCAGATGGGTTCATGGTGGTCTGAGAGGTCGCTATCTGAGTGAGATCTCCAGAGCTTGTTATGCCGCTGTTTGCTGTGGAGGACATACACAGGAAATGCCTTACTCTGGTTTGTGAAATCAATCAACACCCTCCCAGGAAACTGCTCCCAGATAAATTTAAATACTAACCTGCAAATGCTTTGTTAATACCCAATGGAAGAAGTAGGCAATAAACATTTGTAAAGATGCTCAATTTGGGGCGACTGGGAGGCTTAGTCATTAAGCGTCTGACTTCAGCTCAGGTCATGATCCCAGGGTCCTGGGATCAAGCCCCGCATTGGGCTCCCTGCTCCGCGGGAAGCCTGCTTCTCCCTCTCCCACTTCCCCTGCTTGTGTTCCCTCTCTCGCTGTGTCTCTCTCTGTCAAATAAATAAATAAAATCTTAAAAAAAAAAAGATGCTCAATTTAACTAATAGCAAAAAACAAAAACAAAGCAAAACAACAATAATAAAAACGAATATGATATCTGATTTTTCTACCTATCAGACTGACAAGGCTTAAAATGGTTGCTAGCAGCTAGTGTTGATGATGGCATGGCCAAACAAGTCCTCTCATATATAGTTGGTAGGAATGTGAATTGTAGAAATTCTTTTTTTTTTTTTTTAAGATTTTATTCATTTATTTGAGAGAGAGAGAGAGAGTGAGAGAGAGAGCACGGGCAGGGGAGAGAGGGAGAAGCAGGCTCCCCACTGAACAGGGAGTCCGATGTGGGGCTTGATCCCAGGACCTGGGATCATGACCTGAGCTGAAGGCAGATGCTTAACCAACTGAGCCACTCAGGTGCCCCTGAACTGTAGAAATTCTGAGAGTGAAATCTGACAACAGCTCTCAAAATTTAACCCTTAAACCAGCAATTCTTCTAGAGAAATACTACTATAAGTGCACAAAGATATAAGGATGTTTATTATATAATACAGTGGTACTAAAGGATCAGACACCAAAAAAAAAAAAGATTTATTTAAATTACAGCCCATATACCTACATGCCATTCATGAAGCTATTAAAAACAGGCGTTTTAATGGAATGCTGTCCAAGGTATACAATTAAGTGAAAAAGCATGCTGACCACATTTGGAATGGTCAGTTCCCATGTTAGAATAAGTATAGGAAAATACCTGAAGGAACATCATCAAACTGGTCACAGGGTTCCTTTCAAGAAAGGCAGAATACTTTCAGGGAGAGCTTTACTTCCAACACTCTATATTTCTATAAGTTTTAAAATTTAAAAATAATGAGCATGTTTAACATTAATAACCGGGGGGGGGCAGGTACTAAAACAAAACAACATCTAGGCAGTACAAAGAGAAATACTCTATTGGAGCCCATTACAAGTTTTATAATTGGGATAAAGAGCTGATACAGGATTAATTATGAAGTAGTAATGTGAGGAGGGTGGTAATCTTTCTTGAATTAGAAAGCAAAGATGAAGCTAGTAAATCCACAGAAAAAGGTTTATATGCATAAAATACAGGGCTTCTTTCATAAGGATCTTTCAATAAAACCCATCAAGCTAAGGGGACACCTGGAAAAGCAGGTGGCCCAAAGAAGATCACACACATATATCCATCCTTTGGCCTATTTTATGGAGGGAAGTTTTTTTAAATTTTATTTATTTGAGAAAGAGAGTGAGCGAGAGAGAGAGAGAGCACACGAGGAGAGGCAAAGGGAGAGGGAGAATCAGACTCTCCCGCTGAGCAGGGAGCCCCATGTGGGGCTTGATCCCAGGACTCTGAGATCATGACCTGAGCTGAAGGCAGACACTTAACCAACTGAGCCACCCAGGTGCCCCTGTAGAGAAGTTCTGATAGGATGAGATTTCATTTCAAACCATACTAACAAGGGAGCACAGTTCCCAAAGCCCTAGCCTAAAGGAAAAAGGTGGCCCTGTGGCTGGTCAGGATCACCTGCCCAGGAAACAGGTCCCTAGATATGGCATTTAGGGGTGTGGTTTCCATGACTTACAAGTTGGTGAAGAGTTACCTAACTGCAGAGTGTAATGGGAAATAGCCCAAAACAATTTGCCGCAGGCTCAGGGCCACGCCTGCCTATGAATCTCTGCCGAGTCATGCGCCTGCACTAATGTGAACCCCTGTTTGTTCTCAACTCTGCACCTGCTCTCAGCTCCCCCTGTCTGTCTGCTGCTTGGGTGGGGCTCTCTCTGACTCAGGCCTGCACGGCAGAAGGGTGGTTTTCCGGGTAGGGAACAGGTCATTCTGTTTATGAAGACAGGCTATAATCAATAGCTGGAAGGAAGGTAGGGTTTTCACCTTTTCCAAGCTGCATGAACTCCAGCCACCCCTAGGAGGAGACAACATATCACACATCCCAAACAAGTGAGTGACTGTGGGGTGGGGCAAACTGAATGGTTGGATAGGTGGGGCCTGAACCGTACCCAGTGATCAACCCAGGCCATGGGCTTCCCTTTAAAGTTTCTTTTATATCTAGATACTCTTGTTTCCTGACCTACATATGGCTGTGTTCTCCAATTTCTAACCCTCACCTATCATGAGGATGTTCAAACCTGCACCAACTCCTCTCAGCCACCATGGCAGGGCAATTCCTGTGATGCAAATGATTGGGAAGACATCTCAGGGAGTAGCTGTTCTCACCTTTCTAATAATATAAAAGAACAGCTTATCTTACCAGTCAACAGGCAAATGGGATTTTTCATGATCCCAAGAACCTTCCAAAGGATGATTTTTAAAAAGTTTTTATTTATTTATTTATTTGACAGAGTGAGAGAGACAGCGAGAGAGGGAACACAAGCAGGGGGAGTGGGAGAGGGAGAAGCAGGCTTCCCGCTGAGCAGGGAGCCCGATGCGGGGCTCCATCCCAGGACCCAGGGATCATGACCTGAAGCGAGGGCAGCTGCTTAACGACTGAGCCACCCAGGCACCCCCCTAAAGGATGATTTTTTAAAAAAGTGCCTGCAAATCACTGATCAATCAGGAGGGAATGAGACTGAAATTATGCTAATAGGTACCAACAGTGTATGTTTCAGAGGAAGTGGCTGACATTACAGCTGCCTTGCCCAGCAGGGATTTCCTTCTCTTTCTGGGGGAGATAATCATCAGAAAATATTAGGCCAGGGCTCTGGAATTAAACTGATCACTACTTGTAAAGCAGAAAGAAAAATCTCAATCCAAAGATAGGTCTGATTCCGCTACCTTTTTCATTTTTGCAGTAGGGCCTGCAGGGAGGGTGGTAGGCAGCGCTTTGATAGAATCAAGAGACTCATTACCATGGCCTTCAAAGCACTGCCACTCCAGGTGCCCCTTCCCGCTCCTCCCTTCCTCCTCCCACCTCAGAGGTTTTAGTAAACTCTGTCCTGAATTTTGTGCTTATCATCCTCTTTCTTTATAATGTCATGTTTTGTTTGTTCTTAATATACTGCTTAGTTTTGCATGTTGTGAACTTACATAAATGAAATCATACTCTATGTATATATTCTTCTACAACTGCCTTTTGCCTACACTGTTTTTAAGATTCATCAATGTGTGCAGCTGTAATTTCAGGGAGGATGACGAACATACCACAGTTTATTTACCCATCCTGTTGATGAACAGTTTTGGCTAGTATGAACAGCACAACCATGGACATTCTTGCACTTGGTGCATACTTTGGTTTCTAAAAGATGTTATATACAGGAGCGGAAAAGGTGGGTGGGTCACAGGGTATATGTTCACCGTCAGTTTTACTCAGTAACACCAAACTATCTTCCAGTACAGTTTTTTCCCAAGTCTGTTTATTCTGATGCTCTATCACTGGTAGGGATAGATGTAAGACACTGGATCATATTTATTATTTTAAACTGTTGATGTTTAAATTCAACTGACTCCCTCCACCTATTTCAGGTAGGCATCAAGTAAACAAGTTGCCAAAAAGAACTTCAGAGTTGGTTTGTGGCCTGGATGATGCAAAGAAGTCTCAGGTTGTTTTCTCCCTTGAGTGACCTCGGACCTGAATTTGGCCTTTTACTTCATAAATGAACAAGAAGGAAATCTAAATGACAGGATACACATGATATTCCATTCTCTTGCCTCCTATTTGCTTTCTTTCTTCTTGTTACATGTTTGGTAAAATACCAACTTTGTTTGAAAAAGTTACATAGAGGAAAACACTGCTAAAAATGGAGTATCAGGTTATAGTAAAATTAGACTGTTTATGGTTACCTCTTAGGACAGCCTGTAGAAAGGAGAAGAAAGAAAAAGCAACAATTGAGCATTCTCTATGTTTTGTCCACGGTTCCTAAATGCTTGAAAATTATTTCACTGAAAAGCTATTAAGAAAATCCTTTAAATCTCAATTGCGATGTGGGTTCATTCTCAGGTTCCCTCCTGCTGGCTGACCACTGTGCACCAGCTAACTAGACTTCAGTGTCTCCACCAGCAAAGCAGGGGAGTGTAACAGACATCTCTGCCTCCTCTGGCCCTGGTGACAGGGGTTTTCAAAGAATCAAAACCGACATCTACGAAGACATGTGGCATGAACTCTCCCTGGCTACCACCCAGTGTTTCTTCTCTGCCCCTTATACACTGGAACCTAATATCACAGACACATGGTCCAGCTTGTAAATGCCTGAAATCTGAACTTGTCTAATGGAACAAAAATCTGCCAGATACCTGCATGATCAGAGTACAGAATAACAAACACGGCTGTTGGCAGTTTAATGGAGGGTTTACACACACACACACACACACACCCACCCACCCTCTTTCTGTCTCAGTCCCATCTCCCAGCTATAAAAAGATAAAAAATACAATTAGATATGCACAGTATCAGTGGCTTTATGATACCCTCCCTTTTAGGTCCAAAGGGTTATATCAAATATTAGCCTTCCCTCTTAAAGACATACTGAACTACGCAAAAAGTCCCTTGCATTTCAGATAGGAGGTCACTGTTTGGTCCATAGCCTCACATTCTGATTAAAGAGACTGTAACCAATTCATAAACCACTTACAGAGGCCTGGTATCATCTTGGTAAACTTCTCTTCTACCAAGACATCAAAGCACCAAGCAAATACCCTCAAACAGAGGGCTGTGACCTCAAGTTAAGTACCCAGTGCCACTCTAGACAACCATAGGGGCTAAAGAATGCTAGGATCAGGGCTCTATCTTTTTGGGAAAACCACATGCTTCCTGACAGAAGATGTGGAATATAAGATCTAAGTACCTCCACAAGAAATGGATTTCTTTGCAGACAGAATGAGTGGGGTTTTTCTAAGGACTTTTCTTCTCCTGGTTACCTAAGCTGTAGAGCTTCAGACAGTTCCAGGAGTCTGGGGCTTCTCTGTTTTTGCTCTTCTAAGCAGGCAGACCCTGGAGTAGCGCTCTAGGGCTGGGCAAGAATCTGCTGGGCCCAGTTCACTTGGCAGCTAGCTTGGCAATAGCCTAGAAGTGCCGTTTCTTAAAAAAAACATCGGAGATTGCAGACCCTAATGATTGTATGCCCAGCAGGCACTCCCACTCTTTTTCCTAACCGGTTAGAGGCCTGATTTGGTTTGGGTATTCACTGTTTCATGGGAGCCCTGGCAGGCAGGAGACAGTCTGGAGGGAGGAGCTAAAGGCAGGTCACTTATTCCCCTAGCTTTCTCCCCACAGGGTCACTTCAGGCTGGCTGTGTCCCTTGACTGAAAGTTATTTCTCCTCTCTGAAGGTGCCTCTTTCTCCAGGAGTCTCCTTCCAGGTTCTAGTAACTGCTCCCTCCCTCTTTGGGCCTTGCAGCTATTACCGAACAGCTCTGCTGATGCAAGTCCCTTGATTCTACTATAATCCCACATCTTTATAAAACCCTCCTCAAATAATCCTAATACGAGTATGCTGTTTCTTGTTGAGATCCCGACTGATGGAGGTATTCTATTACTTGAAAGCAGCCTAAGTGATACCCCTAGCACTAGATTCTGTTCTTAAAATCCAGGAAACATCACAGTACAGGAAATTCCAGGACCACTTCCTATTCTTGTTTCTTTTTTTAAGATTTTATGTATTTGACAGCAAGAGACACAGTGAGAGAGGGAACACAAGCAGGGGGAGTGGGAGAGGGAGAAGCAGGCTTCCCGCTGAGCAGGGAGCCCGATGTGGGGCTTGATCCCAGGACCCTGGGATCATGACCTGAGCCGAAGGCAGACGCTTAACGACTGAGCCACCCAGGCGCCCCCCTATTCTAGTTTCTAATGGAGTTAGTGTGCCTGTGGGTGGTGGAAGGCAGTGGTTGGAGGAAGGAGGAGGGGATAAATGGCACATGCATGTATGTGTTTCTGGGTAGCCCTGGAGAAAGATGATGATGAGAACCACATCAGAATAACCCTTACCAGTATATACTGTACATTGTTTTTTAAGATATATTTTTAAAGATTTATTTATTTGACAGAGACAGCAAGAGAGCACAAGCAGGAGGAGTAGGAGAGGGAGAAGCAGGCTCCCCGCTGAGCAGGGAGCCCGATGCGGGGCTCGATCCCAGGACCCTGGGATCCTGAACTGAGCTGAGGGCAGACGCTTAACCATCTGAGCCACCCAGGCGCCCCTAAGATTTTCTTCTTAAGTAATCTCTATCCTCAGTGTGGGGCTCAAACTCACAACCTGGAGGATCAAGAGGTGCATGCAGGCTCCTCTGACTGAGCCAGCCAGGCGCCCTCTTAGTGTACATTTATTTATACACATTTTTATTTACAATAACCCTATGACATAGGGTTCTTTAAAAAAAATTTTATTTAAATTCAACTAGTATTAGTATTATTAGTTTCAGTGTGACACAGGGCTCTTGATTTTCATATTACAGATGGGGTCAGGTGAGGATCAGAACTGTGAAGTAACTCCTCAAAGTTGCAGCAAGAGGATGAACCAGAGATGGAAACCAGATCTACTGACTCAAATTCTGTGGTTTTCTCATTCCCCAGGGCTCGCTCCTCCCTCCATGAATCAAGCCCAGGAAAGCAGAATAGAACCGAAAGGGAAAGGAAGAGGCAGAGTGATTTGTGGGTTATGCTGCCCTTCTTATCCTCATCTAAGATTTTTCTGAAGTTCCTTTAACATCTAAGAAAAACCACATCCTCTAAAAAACCCAACCCAACAGCTTGCAGTAGCCTGAGATTCCAGAATAAATACTGAAATTGGCAGGACACATAATATCCTTGCTCTCAATGGGTCACGTGAGGACACTGCATAACATCCGTCATGTGTGTGTCTGGGAACATACAATATTTATGTTTCATCCAACCCTCAGATGCCTCTTTCTTGTGCCAAAAAGAACTGCTGTGTCCTACCTTCTGATCTAATCCAAAAATGTCATCAAAATCTGGCCCCCAAGACCTCCAAATTCTTTTTAAGTGGAGGAGACTTGAGTATCCTCCCTGCTTCCTAAAAGAATGGCTCAGATGAAATCATGCCAAGTACTGAGTAAACGGGAGGGGTTTTTTTTTAGTGGAAACCATAATGCTATGCTGGGCTGCATTTTCACAAGACTTCGGGGGTGGGAGGGTGGTCCCTCTGCCTGGATAGGCTGGAAGGCTATTTAACGTTTTGTTCAGGGGAAACACAGCCCAGATTCAAGCGTCAAGACCAAGTCATGAGACTCACTGGAGTCAAACTCTGGCACCAGCCCCAACTGCTTCTAGGCAGCTGTGCCTTCATATGAACAAAACCACCTAGAATATGCACACATGGAAAAATTAAAGCAAAATCTAGCACTCCACAGAACTTCAGCATGTGGCATCTCGGGAAATTGACCCTTAAACCCAGTTTAATATGTGAATCTCTTTCCTTGAGAGCAGGTGAAAGTGGCCTTCACTACCAGTGAGGTAAAATAACAAATAATTACTCATTTTTTTTTAAAGATTTTATTTATTTGAGAGAGAGAATGAGAGAGAGAGAGAGAAAGAGAGCATGAGAGGGGGGAGGGTCAGAGGGAGAAGCAGACTCCCCGCTGAGCAGGGAGCCCGATGCGGGACTCGATCCAGGGACTCCAGGATCATGACCTGAGCCGAAGGCAGTCACTTAACCAACTGAGCCACCCAGGCGCCCCTTATAATTACTCATTTTATAACCAATTACCAAATTATTCCTGAAATGAGTAGATCTTATTGATAGAGGAAGATGTTCAAGATCTAGTACTGGGTAGACAGAGAAAGACAAATACTGAATAGTATCACTTATATGTGTAATCTAAAAAAGCCATACTCAGAGAAATAGAGAATAAAGTGGGGGTTACTAGGGGGTAGAGAATGGGGGAAATGGGGAGATGCTGGTCAAAGGGTATAAACTTCTAGTTATAAGATTAAAATGTTCTAGGGGCGCCGGGGTGGCTCAGTTGGTTAAGCGACTGCCTTCGGCTCAGGACATGATCCCGGAGTCCCGGGATTGAGTCCCACATCAGGCTCCCTGCTCAGCAGGGAGTCTGCTTCTCCCTCTGACCCTCTTCCCTCAGCAGGGAGTCTGCTTCTCCCTCTGACCCTCTTCCCTCTCGTGCTCTCTATCTCTCATTCTCTCTCTCTCAAATAAATAAATAAAATCTTTAAAAAAAAAAAAAAGATTAAAATGTTCTAGGGATCTAATGTAAGATGGAGATTATAGTTCATAATACTGTATCATATACTTCTGAATGTTGCTAAGAGAGCTGCTAAATATTTTCACCCAGAAAAAAGAAACAGCAGGTGAAGGAATGGAGGTGTTAGCTAATGCCGTGGTGATAATCAGTTTGCAATATATAAATGCATCAAATCAACATATTGGACATCTTAAATTTATACAATGTTATATGTCAATTCTATCTCAGTAAAGCTGGGGGGAAAAAGGATGGTTAAGTGAGGGCTAACTGCAGTGTAACTGTTCAATATACATTGCTACAGTTTAAAAAAAAAAGGAAGACCAGTTATTGGGTGAAGAAGTAGGCTGAAGAATAGCTTTTGTGAGAAAGTATCCATCAATATATGGGGTAAGAGTCAGACCTGGAGAAACATGCAAGATAATGTTGATTACTGTCTGTGGGTACTGAATTTATAAATGATTTTTCTATCTGTGTTTTCTGCATTTCTGCAAAGCATATATATACATATATATGAAAAGATTAAAAGATTTTTAAAAGGAAAAGGAAAGAGTTATTTCCAGGAAGTGCCTTCATACCCCAAATCTGATTTGTCACATGACCAAAATTTTGGAGAAGGCTCACTGAAACCAAGCACTGATAAAAAATGATGCTTAAAACAGCACCACGTACTTCTTAAATTTTATTTTCTTTTACAGAACAGGCCAAAATATTTTCTAAGAACTTCATCTATGCTTAGCATTCCTTTGGGAGCAATAACTATCCATTTTGATAAGGCAGCTGTATCTGGCCTTAGAAGATGTTGAGAAATGTTTATGATAATCAGCACCTACTTGAGAAAGTAAGAGAACAGTATGTCCACCTTTTAGTTTAAATGTCTTTAGTTTAAACACCTGACCTTCCATACTATTCTTAAATGCTTGTACTTGTTTTTTAAAATCTAGATTGACAGATGTTTCAATTTTCAAAATGTATCACACATCCAAATCAGGCTGAGAACTAGCTGCAGGGAAGGAAATTTTATCTTGCCCCAGGAAGCATAACGGGGGGAAAATCTCAGAAAGTCACTGAAGGACTCACCTTGCCAGCAAGATCCCCTGGTACTCTTCCAGTTGTCTCATGAAGCTGGGGTTGGGCTTGGTCACTGTTCGCCTCTCCTTCACGTAGTCATAGGCCCGGTCCAGGTTCCAGCCGTACTCCTTCATTGCGTAGGCAATTACAGTGGAGGCTGAGCGACTCACACCCATTTTGCAGTGCACAAGGCATTTAGAGCCATGTTTCCTATGTCGGGAGATGGAGGTAAGGAGAAAAACACAATAGTGAGTACATTTTAAAAGCTACGTTCTACATGTTTCCAAGTCTCCTCTCGCCTTTCCATTTTTTCAAACCATCCCACCTTAGTGTACTTGTATATATCTACAGTCAAATGTGCAGGGAGGGAAGGCAATTCTAGTGTACTCAAACAATAGTCAATGTTATTATTAATCCTTCTAAATTAATTCAGCAAACATTTACCAGGCAATCACTGTTGTAAGACAATGTGCAAGGTTTCCCTGCCTCCTCCCAGTGGAGGCAAAGAAAAGTAAATCTTCCCTAAATGGTAGGGTTCAGGGGGAGAAAGAGATAATTAAAACGCAAAATGGTAATTGCAATGAGCATGAAGGGAGAGTTTTCAATTTAGACACTGGACCCCATTTTGCGTGTCTGGAGGTGCATGTTCCAAGGCTGGCACAGTCTTGAGTTACAAGTGTGACAGTGATTCATCTAATTTATCCAAATGTTCTGAGTTGCTTCCAGTTCAAGTTCCAGTAAGGGTTCTGTCCCTGGAGGAAAGTACAAACCAAATAAAACTAACCCTCCTCTTTACTCAGATGTAGTCCTACATACCACTTTTCAAACTATCACCACCATGTTCTGTCTAGGGACTGGCTAGACAATCCGTGGAGTTGGATGGGACCATGTGATGCACCATGAGGCTTTCTCAGTGAGGAGGGTGGAGTAACTACCTGTTGTTGTTTTAATGGGGTGGAGGAAAGAGAAAGCAAAGTTACCATAATGTGACTGTAAGAAACAAACAAAACCCTGTGGGTCTCAAGATGCCAGAGCTGATTACTTTGGATATGAACATGACTCAGTTATGCTATGCTAATTCTGCTAATAACACAGTGTCTGGCACAGAGTAAGCCTTCAAATATTTACTAAATGTATGAACAAACTTATGGATCTGCTGTTAGATCTGTCAGCTATAAGTAAAAATATTTTAAAATCTGGAAAAAAGAATGGTTACTCTTTTCACTAGAGTACCTGGGTTAAAAATCCTTCCCATGTGGCTAGTCCAATAAATTAAAAAAAAATGTACATCAGCCTAATAGGGGAAATCTACTCATTCACTCACTCACTGTATTACAATAAACAAGCTTCCTTCCAGAGGCTTATAACTCTTCTGCTGGAGATAGACACACAAGAAAGAGTTAAGTACAATGCAAGGAAGGCATGAGGTTACGTGCCAAAATGATAGGAATTGAGGTTATGTGCCAGATAAGTGATAGGAATTCAGAGAATGATCTGCAATAATCAAAACAGTCTCAAAAGGAAGGTAAGATTAACCTCCTACCCATCATTTAGATGCAAAATTCTGGAGTCCTTAGGTTGATGAAGGTGTGTGTCTCTGCGTGCTTAGATGATCCCAAATGACTAGGACATTTTTGTTTTCTTTATGGCACCATAACTTTAGACTACAGTGCACGGTGACTCAGATATAAGTTCAGACATGTGCTCTATATTTTCCCATCAAGCTCTGACATCAAATTTCAGGTCTATACCCGCAGGCATGCAAGGTGCTCAAAGGTGGACAATTTTAAGAAAAATACAGTTATGAAATCCACCCCCATAAAAGCATGACTTCTTTGGAAGTCATTATTTTGAATGGGGCTTTTTCAGCGGATGGTTTCTAACTCACATATTGACGGATCTGAAGTCAGTTCAGAAAATCCAATTTCATCTTTCAGTTTCAGCCACACACCCCCCACCCCTTCTGGGTTGTCTAGATTAAGCCTGGTCCTGGTATCACTTCAGGAATTCTAAACCCACCCATCTGTAGGTCGAGTCTGGAATTCAGGGCCCTGATCAGGATGAAACATGTGAGGTGCCTGGTGCCATTTAAAGAGGCGCTCACTCTCAGATGCCGACCTACACTCACATGAGCCCAAGCAGGACTGCCTGCTCATGTGTACCCTGCAGGCCTCACATATCTTACCTCAAGGCTGAAACTGGCCTTTCCTTTCACTGGGACTGGGGCCTCACCTGAACTCTAGCCTCTTTGGCTGTGATTCTCACAACATGCCTAGTCTTTTCCAGTCTCCCTTCCTTAAGGAACTAGACTATTCCTAAATACTTGATGGACTCTGGAATAAGACATGATCTTAGGTTCAAGTCCTATCTTCACCACTTGCTACTTAACTTCTCTGAACCTCATCTCTATAGTCTGTCCCTATCTGTACAAAAGGATGACAGTATATGCCTCTCTGGATTCTGGAAAATATTACATGAGAGAATAAAGTGTAAAGTACCTGGCACATAGTAAGCATGCCGTGAGAGGTATTATTGAGAATAATTTAATAATAGGCTTCAAGAATATAAAACTCTTCCAGGTGCTAGCTAGAGACTGAGAGTATGGGCTCAAAGCTAGGAGGATTCAGGGTAACTAAGAGGAAGAACTTCTTGACTATGGAGGTCCTGAAGAAAGATGTGGAATCATTGCTGAAGGAGGGCTTTAAAAATGAGAAGTGCTTCTCATCTGCCAGGGATGTTTGAATGTGGTCCCATCAGAGGGGCAGTGTGGCTAACATGCTCATTTATGGCTCCTTCTATTGAAGGAATATATAGGATTGGCAAGGAAATCCCCAGGGACTTAAAAAAAACCAGCACAGACATACTAATACTAATTAACACTAAACATTAAATTAATACTTTCAGTTTCACTAAAAGGACCAATTCAGGGCGCCTGGGTTGGCTCAGTCGTTAAGCGTCTGCCTTCAGCTCAGGTCATGATCCCAGGGTCCTGGGATCAAGCCCCGCATCAGGCTCCCTGCTCAGCAGGAAGCCTGCTTCTCCCTCCCCCACTCCCCCTGCTTGTGTTCCCTCTCTTGCTGTGTCTCTCGGTCAAATAAATAAATAAAATCTTTAAAAAAAAAAAAAAGGACCAATTAATTTAAAGATGATATCAAGAGAACGGCCAGAGGAAAATTTCACTGCTTAGAGTACCATAAGAGTAAAGTAAAAGAAAGAGAAAAGATTTCCAAAGCTCACTAAGTTTCCCTTCTGGTCTTCAGAAAGAAGGACTCAGTATCCCACCCACCCGGAGTAATTTCTGTTCTCTCACTTTCACATGTCCCCTTTGGCAACTTAGCACTTCCTTCAGAACGTCTTCCTTCTCTCACTCTTACTGCGTTTGCAGCGGCTTCGGTTTGTGTTCCCTCATCTTGTGCTCAATGGAAAGAGTCAACAGGGGATTCATTCTTCCAGGGGTTTCATCTACTTACAGGGAAAGTATGAAGTCACTAGTCAACTTTTCCCCAGGATTAAGGAACCTAAGTCTCCTTTTTTTCTTTAATTCCTTCTCCCAGAGTACAGACAGTAAGCCATCTAGAGCTCTCAGGCCCCAGCCGCGTGTGGTGCGGGAGGAACATGGGTCAGAGCACGTGTGTGGGACCATTACTCACTTTGCTTTAGAGATGAATTTGTAAGTGTCATTCCAGTAAGCCAGGAGATCCGTTGCCTCTTCATCATATACTCGGATGTTATGATACTCAAAGACTCCTGGGAAGAAGTTATCTATCTCTCGAGTGACATTCAAGATATACCGTACCCTGCAAGGAAACCAAGGGAGAATATGTGCTCTACTACTCAGGCTAAATCCAATTCCAGCACTGTTTTTTGTATTTAAAATTTGTTTGCTCTCTAGGTTGAAATAAAATACTAAAATATTGAAGAAAGCTAAAGAACTAAGAGGCTATATACTTATTTAGTAGAGAAACTAAATAACAGAATCCAGGACATACCTGGGCACCAACGAATTACTGAGAGAAAAGCTGTCTACCAAGTCCAACATCTAAATTCCCTTTTCAGCTTATGTACAGTTACACAATCTCATCTTTGATAGTCTTCTGAAAATATGCCTTGTATTTTACTTCAAAAGAATCAACCCAAGGTCCGTGATCTGACAATTTCTCTTCAGTCGATAAAATTACCAGAAACATAATTTATTCTTTGGAAGTCATTTCTATTAAATCAGACTATTAACATCTACCTCAAGACACAAAAAACCAACAAAATAGGAAAGGGAAAAATTTCCTCCTATCTTTCTGAATGCTAGATTTTACTCTGTTACTCTCTGTAAACTACAAGAAAGGCAAAAGAGGCGAGGGCTGGGAGGGTCAGAGGAAAGTTGGACCTAAAACTCTTGTCACTCTGTAGGCTGCAGTCCTGGCTGCCAGAGCAGCAGATGTGTCTGAGAGTTCTCCCATATCCAGAGGCTTGCAGAGAAGGGTTTCTGTATCACAAATTTCTTCTGCTGTCTCTCTCACTGCACAATTTCAATAAATGCTTGGGTTTAATTTGCCAAACGGTTATCTTTTCTCAGTGCTGTGTGGACTTGGGACATCACTGGAGTTTACTCCAACAAAACAACACAGACTCACTTATTTCTCTCTACAGAAGCTGCTTCCTTCTTGGAACTACAATTGTGTTCTTACAAACCCAATCCCTGAAGTCAGAGAAATGACTACAGAAAGGGAGAGCCATATTTAACCCACTTTGTGGTCAAGGTCAAGAGACCAAAATTTTTCTGAAACATGATCTGGATATGTTTTAACTTTGCATCAAAGTCCATTACTAGGAAGGATTTTTTTTTTCTTTTTAATTTAAAAACCAAGCACATGTAATTGTGGAAAACAGTACATGGAGTTACTCTATGACCCAGCATATTCCTCTCCTAGGTATAAACCCAAGAGAAATGAAAAATAAGTCTACCCCAAAATTTGTACATGAATGGTCACAGCAGTATTCATAATAGCTAGAAAGTGGAAAAAACTCAAATGTCCATCAACTGACGAATGAATAAATAAAATGTGGTATTTCTAAACAATGGAACATTATTTGTCAATAAAAAAAAGGAATGAAGTACTAACACATGCTACAACATTGATAAACCTTGAAAATATAATGTGAAGTGGAAGAAATCGTTCTTAAAAGAGCACATATTATATGATTCCATTTAAATGAAATGTCCAGAATACGTAAATCTATAGAGACAGAAAGTAGATTAGTAGTTTCTAGAAGCTGGGGTGACTGTTAAAGGGTACAGAATTTCTTTTTGGGTTGAAAAAATGTTCTAAATTATTGCACAACTCTCTAAAAATAATAAATATCATTGAAGTGTACATTTTAAATGGATGAACTGTATGTGAATCATATTTCAGTGAAACTGTCAAAAGGAAAGCACACTTCTCTTATTTAAAATAAAAATGAATAACCTCCTACCTTTAATCCCATAATTTAATAATGGATTATGATAGGACAAGGCTTCCCAATCCTACTTATTACAGAACCCTTAGGCAGCCACTACCAACTGAAATCAGCACTCTGTGAAACTTCTTTGACATCTCTATATTGAGGAGTGCTTTACTTGGGGTGCTAAAGTCAGCAGATTGGGTGAAAATGGCCTTATTGCCAAAATTAGTCTTGGAAGTCCCTTAAATCATCCACAAGGGGCAGTATATGTGTTTTGTAACTATAATTCTTAATCCACAAGAGTTTAAGAACCAGTGAATTTATGAAACAAGATCTAAGTCGATGTCTGAGCATCCGCCTATACTGTCTTTTAAGACAAATACATCTGTGTTTTATAATTTAGCATTATAAGTAGTAAATGAGATGAACAGGTATCATCTCCAGTGGAGGGGTTAGAAGTCAAAGCGTACTCTAAAGTCAGAGCGCATGTGCGCACTATGTAATTTCAATGCATTTGGCAAGCACTGGCTGTATCAAATCTCAGATTTCCTATTAAACACTGTAGCTACATGCTAGTTTCTGGCAAGTCACAGTCAATTTTTCTATCGTCCCTTCACATTTACTGAGCACCCTCTTGGTAATAAAACTTTGAGCTAGGTAGAGGTACGTTTTAAAACTAAGATACAGTCTCTATTTTCAAGAACTCTAGACTCAATTCTAATCAACTTAAAATTTCCAAGTTCTATTTATTTTCATATCTTAAATTAAGTAACCAGATTCACACCCCCTTCTCCCCACCCCAAGAACTCTTTGTATAATTCTCTGCCTTAAGTCTTGTTCCAAGTTCATTTTAGCAATTATGACATACCTTTCTTTTGAAGAAAAAGTAGGGAGTATGCATCTAATCATGCTAAAGATAACCAGAAGGTTGGCTTACAGCTGAAAAAACAGGAAGCCAGCAACTAGCCATCACTACTTCTGGGTTTCAGTAGGTCTTATCGCTGTCCACAATTATGAGTTAGCATGGCCAACTTCAATGAAAAATTTAGGCATTAGCTAAGAAGTAAAAAGGGAAGAAGAATGGCAGCCTTTTGCTTGCTGAATGTTCATGGTGGTCTCAATAACTCAACAATCAAACTCAATAACCATGCTGCTTAGGGGCACATTTCTTAATACAAAGTAGCAAAGTAGGTATTCTTGTTCAATTTCAGAAGCTTGTCCACTTTACATTTATAACCTACTTAGATTTTAAGCGCCTTACTAAAAAAGGATAGGGACTGAGTCTTATTTTTCTTTGGATCTCTAGTATCTAGCACTGTACCTGGCTCACGGAAGATGGTCAATAAATGTTGAGTGGATATCTGTGAACCCAACATATGTAGTTCTGTGTACTCTTACATAAAAATAGGAAACAAAGGCAAAACTATGGTGGCAGTAAAAAGATCAGGGGTTGCCAGGAGTGGGGGTGGGAATAAATGGGCAGAACAGAGGATTTTTAAGGCAGTGAAAATACTCTATGATACCATAATGATGGATGCATGATACTATACATTGTCCAAAGCCACAGAATGTACAATACTGACAGTGAACTATAACGTAAATATGGACTTTGCATGATTATGATGTTATCAATGAAGGTTTATCAATTGTAACAAATGCACCACTCGGGTGGGGATGGTGATAATGGGGGGGCTATGCATGTGTGGGGGCAGAGGTATATGGGAAATCTCTGTACCTTCTCCTCAATTTTACTGTGGATCTTAAATTGCTCTAAAAACAAACAAAAGGAACCAATAACTACATTTGTTTTAAACAGCAGGAAAGGCATGCACGTTTCTTTTGGAAAGCCTTTCCACTGAAACGGTAGCTCTTTCTTGGGAGCTGTGTGTGGGGGAGGATGAAACAGTGGGAGAATGGCCACTTAACTTTTTATTAGATTACACCTGATTAGAATCAACTGGAAGCAACTCTAAGGGTTAAAGTTACTCACAGACACCTATATGACAGGAAAAAGTAAAAAAGAACAGTGATTTCTGTCAGGGGGATAAAAGCAATTGCTCTGTGTGCTTACCCTCGGTTCTGTAAATCCTCTAAATTAGAGGCATTCCATTCTGAGCCCTGTGGAGGGGGGGGGAAAGATTAGGGAGTATTAGCAAATGAACAAAATACAATGCTTGTGAAGGAGTCCCATGAGGGAAGAAGCAGAGCCAGTAACATCTACCACGGTTCCTTTCAATAGGTCAGGTACTTCATTATACATGATCACATTTAGTTTTCACAAGTGATAGGGTAAGAAAGTTATCTTCATTTTTACAGATCAGAAAACCAGCCCTCATAGAATTCAAATAATTTTTGCTCAAGATCACTTGCTGGAAAAGTGTCTTTGATCATCCTCCACTCTAAAGTAAATGTCGTCTGTCTTCCTTGTTTATAGCACTCTGATTTTTTTCAATACTACATATCACAATTTTTACTTGTATATTTATTTATGTGCTTATTTACTACCTCTCTCCTTCACTATAATATAAGCTTCTTGAGGACAGCAACCAGATCTCTTGTTCCCTAAGGACACCCTGAACAGTGCCTGGCACTTGGCAGGTATTCAGTAATAAACATTTGTTAAATGAACAAAGTGGCATTATTATGAATTAAACCTAAATTTCATTCTAAAGCCCATATTGTTTCTAGTGCCTTATGTTATATTCAGAGAGAGTGAAATAGCAGCTTCTGTTACAAACAAGGGAAACATGATATACAACATTTAAAGAAGAGTTGTACAGATTATCTGAAAGACATATCATTTGTTAATATTTTATCTCTCCCCTTCCCTTTCTTTCAATATGTATCATACTTTTTTCCCCTGAGCCATTTGAAAGTAATCTGAGCAATCATGACACTTCAGTATTTGATCATGTATTGCTTATGAACAAGAACATTCTCCTATTTCCATTTTTACAACTAAGAAAGAAAACACTAACGCAATGATAGCCTAATACATTATCAATATTTGAATTTCAAAAACTGTCCTCTCAAAACTGTCCTTTATATTCATTCAATCAAGAATCATACTTTGTGGGGCGCCTGGGTGGCTCAGTTGGTTAAGCATCTTACTTTGGCTCAGTTGTAATCTTGGGGTCCTGGGATCGAGCTCTGCGTCTGGCTCCCTGCTCAGTGGGGAACCTGCTTCTCCCTCTCCCCCTGCTACTCCCCCCAGCTTGTGCTCTCTCTCTCAAATAAATAAATAAAAATCTTAAAAAAAAAAAAAAGAATCATACATTGTATTTAGTTTCCATGTCTCTTTCTCAATTAATCTGGTCTTGGACAGTCCATCCCAACTTTATTTTGGTTTTCATGATATTGACATTTTTGTTGACTACAGGTCTGTAATCTTGGAGAACTCATCACAATCTGGATTTGTCTATTTGTCTCCTGATAATCAGATCCAGGTCAAAAATCTTGGCAAGAATAATACAAGGATAGTATTGTGTATTTCCTATTGCATCAAATCTTGAGGCACACAATGTCCATTTGTCTCATTGTTTGTCATGCTAAACTGGAATTCTTGGTAGGTACCTTTGTATCTGCCACATCCCACTATTGTAAAGGTTTCTTTACAATTAATTAGTAATCTTTAGGTATTAGTGATCTTTGAAGTCAGGTGAATATCCTGTTTCACAATAATCTTTTACCCTATGGTTTTAGCATCAACTGCTGACCTTGTCCAAATAAATTATTTTACTGGACGTTGACAAAATGGTGGTTTTCTAATTCTATCATTCCTTCTGCATGGGAGCTGGCATTCTTCTTTGTAAAAGAGAGCTTCACCTAGTCATTCCTTCCACACTCTGAATGCCACTATGAGTTCTTGAATTCTTTTTGTATTTAGAATGTTATATAATCCATTACCATTTTTTTTTCCCGACACTCAAATTGTCCTGAATTTGATCAGTGGGAATCTCTTCAAGCAGGCAAGCTTTTTTTTTTTTTTTTTTTGCAGGCAAGCTCTTTTTGATATGACCCCACTAGTTTTTGAATATTTCTTTGCTTTCTGGCATAAGAAGTTGTTCCACATTCACTTTGTGAGTGGAATTAGCGATTTCTCCAAGGAGCCCTGGTTTCTTTTAGCAAAGAATGATATTTTGCAATCAAAACCTGGACATTAATTAGATATACTCATAAATATTGGGTGTTACTGCTTCTAAACTTTTCAGTGAACAGATCTAGGAAATACTTGAAAAAAAATATTGAATTTACAGGAGCACCCAGGTGGCTCAGTCAGTTGAGCATCCAATTCTTGATCTCAGCTCAGGTCTTGACCTCAGGATCATGAGTGTGAGCCCCATATTGTTAACTCTCTTTTTTGTGCCAGGCATGAGGCTAGATATTTGTGCAATCTGATCTGTTTCTATAAGGAGAGAGTAATGAACCATAACAGGGAAGTATTCATGGAAGGCCCCTGGGATAGGCCGTGGAAGGCCCCTGGATTAGACAATTAGAAGTGGTCATTAGTAACATTAGCAAAAGTGATGAGGGCAGAAATCACAGTGCTGTAGGTTGAGACATATGGGAAATGAGGAATCAGAGGAAGTATCAGATTATATTTCTATGAATCTTGGTAAGGGAAGGGAAGAAAGGAGTGTCTGGAAGAGAATTCAGGATGGAAGGAGGGTTTTTCCACTTTAATATGGGAGAAACTGGTTTTTTTTTTTTGTCGGGGGCTGGGGGCTGGAATGGGAACTCATAAACAATAGAAACTTACTTCTCCGGCGCCTGGGTGGCTCAGTTGGTTAAGCGACTGCCTTCGGCTCAGGTCATGATCCTGGAGTCCCGGGATCGAGTCCCACATCGGGCTCCCTGCTCAGCAGGGAGTCTGCTTCTCCCTCTGACCCTCTTCCCTCTCGTGCTCTCTCTCTCTCATTCTCTCTCTCTCAAATAAATAAATAAAATCTTTAAAAAAAAAATAGAAACTTACTTCTCATAGTTCTTTGGCTAAAAAAATTGAATTTACACTGGTACCTCCAATTCAAAGTTAACACAGGTTCTTCCTTCCTTTCTTGTCCCTTTGTCATCATTTTTATCTCCCCATTCCACAGTGATAACCTTGGTTTCCAACAACTCATTAACTCTATTTACAAAATAACTTCAACATGACTACACCAATATCACAGCCAATTACAAACCTTTTTTTTTTTTTTTAAAGATTTTATTTCTTTATTTGAGAGAGAGAATGAGATCGAGAGAAAGCACGAGAGGGGGTAGTCAGAGGGAGAAGCAGACTCCCCGCCGAGCAGGGAGCCCGATGCGGGACTCGATCCCGGGACTCCAGGATCATGACCTGAACCGAAGGCAGTCGCTTAACCAACTGAGCCACCCAGGCTCCCAATTACAAACCTATTAAGTTCAAATTTTCTTTGCAGTTTTTTTCTCTTCCCATGAAGAGGTTCAATCAGAATATTATGCTCAAAAGTTATTTAAATTAATTTCCTTTTTAAAATAATTTTTAAAAATATTTTATTTATTTGGCAGAGAGAGCCACAGCGAGAGAGGGAACACAAGCAGGGGGAGTGGGAGAGGGAGAAGCAGGCTTCCCGCTGAGCAGGGAGCCCAACGCGGAGCTTGATCCCAGGACCCTGGGATCATGACCTGAGCCGAAGGCAGCTGCTTAACAGACTGAGCCACCCAGGTGCCCCCTCAGGTCCATTTTCTATCTTTGGACTCTCTCTTCATTCTCTTTTGAAAAGGCAAACATTTAAAAGTAGGAATTTACCTATTTTAGAATTATGCATTAAATGGAATTTAGCATTAGAAGACTCAGGTTCAAGTCCCAACTTCCCACTGTACTGTGGGGGCACTGGGGAAACTGCTTAACCTGTCTTTGCTTTCCTTATCTGTAAAATGGAACACTCTTCCCACCCTAGTCCTATATACCTAAATGGGTACCTTCTCAAATCACAGATAGGAAGTTTTTACTGATCTCTTTTGCCATGTGAAAGTACAAAGAAGTCTATGACCCAGAAGATGGTCCTCACCTGACTGTGCAGGTACCCTGATCTCAGATTTTAGCCAAAGAACTGTAAGAAATAAGTTCCTGTTGTTTATGAGTTCCCATTCCAACCCCCGACAAAAAAAAACAAAAAAAACAAAAAACAGTTTCTCCCATATTAAAGTGGAAAAACCCTCCTTCCATCCTGAATTCTCTTCCAGACACTCCTTTCTTCCCTTACCAAGATTCATAGAAATATAATCTAATACTTCCTCTGATTCCTCATTTCCCATATGTCTCAACCTACAGCACTGTGATTTCTGCCCTCATCACTCTTGCTAATGTTACTAATGACCACTTCTAATTGTCTAATCCAGGGGCCTTCCATGGCCTATCCCAATGGCCTTCCATGAATACCTACCTGTTATGGTTCATTACTCTCTCCTTATAGAAACAGATCAGATTGCACAAATATCTAGCCTCATGCCTGGCACAAAAAAGAGAGTCAACAAATGTTTATTAAATGAATGATCAAATAAGTAAATGAAGCACTCTGAAAACTGTGTTATGCAAGCACTATCATCACAATACAAGTGATATGTTATTTAATTTGGCTGTTGAACTGAGAGATATAGATCAAGGATGCTGTGAAGTTCCATTTAGGAAAAGGACAGTAACTGATGGACAACTGATCTTTTCTACAGACCCGGGCTCAGCTGACTTGCTTTCAAAAAATATGGGAGGTTCTGAAGGCTCTGTGCTCAACCTCTGAAAACAAGCTGCCACACCAAAGAAAGGTAAGAACTATAAAGAACTTCAAGGAGACAGAAGCCAGGCAATAAGGGTTGAGAGGCTAAATTGTAGCCAGGGAAATGTGACCACTTCACTTAATTTAGAAGTCTAAATCCTCTGTGGAACTTTGTCCAGCTAGATGGAAATAACCCTTACGTGATGGGAAAAATCCATGGTTTTCATCTACCTGTCCAGAGAAAATTCAACCTGACAATCTGAAATGGTACATATCCAGAAACAAAATAAATTAAAAGCTTTGGCTACTGACTTAGTGAAGTCCGTATAACATGACTCGGGCTGTGCTTAGGGCTGCTTCAGGTTCAGCCTGAAAGGAAGAACTGGAGTCAACGTGGTGTAATTACTTTGCTGCCCTCAATATAAATGCTATTCATATTAGCCCCCTGGGCCCTCCAAAGACTCAATCTTTTTTTTTTTTCCCCTCTCCATGCTTCTCAGGCTTACAACGACACAATGCCATGGGGTTTTTCACTATGTTCTATATAATTATGCAAAGCATATTCTAATCTTACTGAAGTGTAAAATGAAATCTTGGGACTATAACACATTTTTAAGTAAGTTCATTTCCATCTTTCACTCTGGTTCCCCTACACTGTGCCATAGCCCAGAGACCCGTGTGACTAATTTCTTTCTTTTAATTTTTTAAAGTAGGCTCCACACCCAATGTAGGGCTTGAATTCATGACCCTGAGATGAAGAGTCGCATGCTCTACTGACAGAGCCAGCAAGCGCCCTCATATCTTCTTCATCATATCATGCCTACAGCCTCAATACTGAGTCATATTATGGCAGCAACCAGGCACAAGAGCTCTATTAATTTTTCCTTCTGAGAAAAGTTCATGCTACACATCTTCAGTTGATGGACAAAATCATAAATAATTAAAATAGCCCATTTGATTTAAGTCTGATCTATTTACATATCCTCCATTCTCTGCACCTACAGAAGTAACTACCAATTTGAGGCTTAATTTTTCTTTGAAAAGGAAACATTATTCTTTAATGTCAAATATTAAAAAAGATAACCATCAGCAATAAAAATTGACTAGTTTTTTATTAATGAACAAAATTATTGGTTGTGTCCAATATTCCTGTGTTTCCCTTGTTCAACTAAGAAAGCTGCCTGCTTTTCAGCAAAGGGTCTCTGTTCACATTTAGCTTTTTCTCAGCCAAACTGGACAACCTCCAGTAGAACTGTTGATATTGAGACTTGGTTGGGCAAAGGCTTCCAGCTCAGAGAAGTGGTACACTCTTAAGGGTGTGGAAGAACTTTTTCTGGAAATACCCTGGCTTCCAACCAATCAATCCTCTCTTCTTGCTGCAGATTTTCTTTGAACTATGCTTTAAACTTTTCTTCTCCATACCAGCTGGACACCTTTTTAAATAAACATCTCTGTGCAGTGCACTGCAGAGCTGAGCATTCTTCCAAAGGGAGGGGAAAAATCCTGCTGCCTCCCTTCACGCAATCTGCTTGCACTCCAGGCATGGCAGCTATGCACAAGATGAAATGACTTTGCAGAAAATTAACACCACCGCTTGCAGCTTGGATAAGACCTCTTTTTCCGTGTCAATTGCTAGGAAAGCCAGCAGAGTACAGACTCACTGGAGAAGAGATAGGGGTTTGGATACAGGATATGGTGGTGCAAACAAAGGGAGGAAGCCATTGATGAAGAAGTGTTCATGCACTCATTTTGTTGGATAAGAGTTAAATTTCAGAATTCTCCAGTTTGAAAATTTTTCCCAAATAAGAAAAATACTCACAATTGAAAGAACATGTCCATTCTCTAGAAAACAGAATTATATCTGAAGCTGAGTAGGATTTCCCTTTTTTAAAAATATATAGACACATATTAAAAAAGTAAAACAGATGGGTGCCTGGGTGGTTCAGTCAGTTAAGCATCTGCGTTCGGCTCAGGTCATGATCCCAGGGTCCTGGGATCGAGCCCCACATCAGGCTCCCTGCTCAGCGGGGAGTCTGCTTCTCCCTCTGACCCTCCCCCTCTCATGCTCTTTCTCTCTCTCAAATAAATAAAAAAAACCCCTTTTTTTAAAAAAAGATTTTATTTATTTATTTGACAGAGAAAGACACAGCGAGAGAGGGAACACAAGCAGGGGGAGTGGGAGAGGGAGAAGCAGGCTTCCCGCGGAGCAGGGAGCCCGATGCGGGGCTCGACATGACCTGAGCCGAAGGCAGACGCTTAACCACTGAGCCACCCAGGTGCCCCATAAATGAAATCTTAAAAAAAAAAAAAAAAGTAAAAAAGACTGGAATATTATATAAGATACCAATGCTTATCTCTTTTGCTGATGATTAAATGTTATTGTCTTTTGAAATTGTCTAAGCTTTCTACAATGAACATGAATTATTTTTGTAATAAATAAAAAACCCAAGACAGAAGAATATGTCAGTAATCGTGCTAAGTGAAATAAGTCAGAGAAAGAAAAATACTGTATGATTTCACTTGTACGTGAAATATAAAAAATCAACAAATAAAACCGGACTCTATACAGAAAACAAATCAGTGGCCACCAGAGGAAAGCTGGGGGTGGGTGGGTGGGTAAACAGATAAAGGGGATTAAGAGTTACAAACTTCCAGCCACGAAATTAATAAATTACAGAGATGGAAATGTACAGGATAGGGAATATAGTCAATAATATTGTAATAACGTTGTATGGTGACAGATGGTGACTACACTTACTGTGGTGAGCACTGAGTAATGTAAAAAATTGTTGAATCATTATGCTGCATACCTGAAACTAATATAACGTTGTATGTTAATTATACTTCAATCAAAAAATAAATAGAAAGGAATGGACTTCGTGTAGCTCACTAAAAAAATTAAATTGTCTAAGCTTTCTATAATGAACATGAATTATTTTTGTAGTAAGTAAAAAACCAAGACAGAATATGCCCATAATCATGAATTAATAGGATGAATATCCTGGTACAAATACTCAAATGCATTTGTAGTTGATTAGAGACTCTAATCTGGGGAGAAGTGGATTGTTTTTTCTGCTAAGAATACCACTAAAATTTCTAGGTCCTAAAATATATCATTTCAGGAGGCAGGAAAGAGAAGGTAGTTCTTGAGGGAGGTGGCACCAGAGGTGGGTGGAAGTATGCCCCAAATTAAACAGGTTGAACAGTCAGATATTAACTGTATTTAATATTCATCATGTCTACATCCTTTTTGGTATTAAAATATAAGCTAATGCAAAAGTGACTTCCGAGTTTACAGCTCTGGTCATTTTCTAACATGAGCTATTTTTGGCTACAGGAACTTGCCCTTCATAAAAATTAGTCATGTTACACAGATACAGTTGGGGGCAGGGTCCATTTGAATGAGTGACTCATAAGTTTTCTATAGATTACACAAAAATTCTTTCCAACAATACACCAGCAGGGAATACTTGAACACTTTTGGAGGTATACACAAAAGACGAAGAAGCCAAGTGCTTTACAAATGGGAAAGGTCAATGATAGTTTTGCAGTATGATCTACACCCAGAAATGGCAATACACATTGGTCAAGTTAAAGTAATGGGAAAAAAAGTTCCCTTTCCAGCTCACAGCTTTTCATGAGTAATTTCATAGCTATACAGCACTATGAATCACTCTACAAGCACACATACTCTAGACTGTCAAAAAGTTAATTCAGGGCACAAGCCTTCAATGGTACAAAATCTGACTGCTTGGTGATATAAGCTCTTGAATATTCAGGGGTGAGATGATCCAATTTAGTCAGTTCCTGGGCATTTATTCCTCGTCTCCTGTTTCTCAGCTTCTAATCATTTCACAAATGTCCTCACCAGAGAAAGGAAGTGAAATTCAAACCAATCAATTTATTTCCTTGTTAGCATTTTTGGTCAAAGTGTGTGGGAAGTGGAAACAAAACGAAGCTTTGACATTTCCCACTGATTCTAATTATCCTTTTTAACCTATTCCCACTGCCATGTACAGATGGAAACTAAAACTCTTTAATATTTGGAAGGAAAATAGGTCTTGGGATTTTAGAAGCTTTCTAAACATTAGAAAGGTGTCCTTGGGTTAATTTCAGGTCACTGAATGTTCAAAAACCACAAAGAACAATTTTAAGTCACTGAAATTTTAGCAAACACAAAAATATTTGGGGGACTCAAAATGTAGCTATAAAGTTCCAAATGTTCAAAAAGTCCAATAGTCTCTCAGTCCTAAGTAGTCCCCACCTGCTCTGCTCAGATATATCCGACCTTACACAAATTTGGCAAATCTGAAAGAGTGACCTCAAAGTATCATTCTATTTGTATCCACTGTATAAAGCTATTGTGGACTGGTCTGTTTTTGACTTTTGACTGTCATGAAGAACAGATGAGATATTTAACAATCTCTGGGGGGAAAAAGGGCCTGATTTGTAGCATTTGCCTACTTCCTTGGTGTAAATTTTCCACCAATTTCAATCTACCAGCTTGATGTCACTGAATGAGGAACTGGGAAGAGATGAGCAAGCACACCATTATCTAACATTTCCACCATATAATAGATGTAAATAACCTAAGAGCACAGATAACAGTAAAAAACTAAGAAGTGATGAGGTTTGAGTATTTACTACCTTTGTTTTTAAGTTACATTTTATTTAAATATACTAAAATTTAACAGTTGCTCCTCCAGAGCTGGTATGGACTAGATTCAGCACATCACTTAGAGTGGCCCTGAGACTTACCAAGAATACATGCTCAAATATCTGGGTAGGGCTATCCATTTGACCAAGGATCACTATCATTTCATTATCTATAAATTCCTTGAATTCTCGTAGGTTGCACACCATTTGCATTTCCAACTCAGTTCGTATCTGAAACAAAGAGGACACATTTTACTAATCTCTGAAAAGTATCTCTGTGCTTTCAATCACTCATGATTTCTAGCCCCATACCTACTGTTATCCCACACTCCTAGCCTTGGAACAGGGAGAACTCAAGGTCTCTTACCTCTTTGGATGTGATATTCTCCAAATCCTTCTGCATCATTATCTCCCTTAATTTGGTTTTAATTAATCTTTCTGTTCGCTCACGTTCAGTTGGTCTGAGAAGAGAGAAATGGTGATTTTTCTTAGGCAGGAATTTGACTAGGTTAATGAATGTGCCATTTGTTTATGTCTTCAAATTGGCAGACCTTCCTTCTATTACCCTCGAACATTTATATTCTGGGGGCATGGCAAAAAAAAAAAGTATTTAAAAAAGTTTCTTTTCACAATGTATAGAATGTAAATGTGTAGAAATTATTACTTGAAGAGGTGGTACATGTCTAAAAGCCCTTAAATATATCCACATACATCTATAGGAATAAAGACAATAAGCTATACTGTGTACTACGTTAATGCAGAATCATAGCCGTATTTCATCGAGTACCCCTGACTACCCCTTGCTGAGCTAGAATACCAAGCTGGGTAGAACAGTGGTGTGACCCACTACAGAACTAGGTCTTCTGTAGCTTAAAACACCACCTAATGCTGACCATTCATTGCTATCATTCTAGAAAACAGGAAAGATGAAAGAATGATTTCTGCCTTCTTCATTGAGGCAAATTCACTCCAAAGAGGGTTTTCAAGGATTAACTACCAAGAGTACTTTCATCCAAAATGTGTTTCTTTTCATAAAAGCTCTCACAACATCTCTGTGAAACTCTTATCCCCATTTTACAGATAAAGGAAATAAACAGCTCAAAGGTTAAATGACATGCCAAAGATCACATACACTGGGCAGGAGAACCAGCATTCTCAGTCCAGCCTAACACTCTACCTGAAGGATTATGTTGCTTCCCTTAATCTTCTGACTCTTAAAATAAAATTACCCTTGGAACTTTAATAGGAAATTAAACTAGGAAGCTGACTCTCCAATTACTAGAAAGGTATTGGTTCAAGTAACTGGATGCTTCTCTCTAAAAGCATTATTTCATACGATGCAGAATTTGCATGAGGCTGACAAAGAGCACTTTCTGTCTCATCTTCCCTCTTACCTACTCAAAAAAGGGATCTGCTCTGTACCTCCTTATTTGGAGATGGAAATGGACTAAGCCATCAGGCATCCTGCCTGCCCTTGCTGCCTACGGCCTTATCACTGGCTGTAAAAATAGCTTCAGTAATCTCCAAAGATGGCTGCTCTGACCTCACAACCTTGGGGCTCCCCACCACTTGGGCTCGTAGTTTCTTATGAACCCTGCAGAATACAGATAATGCCTGTGCCTTTTCCCTATCCGCCAAGGCATCCCTGTCTTGACCAGGATTAAAATTCTTAATCATGCTCCTCACCACTTTTCTTGGACTAGCTAATGGTAGAAAGTTATACATTTCAGTCTTCCATTAAAATTATTGATAAAAACAAATTTTACCATCTATGTGCATGAGTTAGATTCCCTAGTTAGCAATCTTTCTCCTAATCCTTTATAATACTTCTTTGAGGCAGAGTGGTTTGGGAGCAGACACACCTGGGTTTTAATCCCAGCCCTGCTACTTCCCAGTGGTACAACCTTGAACAAGTTCCTTCCCTTCTCTGAGCGGGTTTCCTTTTCTATAAAATGAGGATAATAATCATACTGACTCATGAGGGTCTTATGAGGATCAAATGAGGTACCACGTATGAAGTGCTTGGCATAATATCTGACGTGCACTGGAGGCACTATACACGTATATTCCCTTTTTCCCCTTCCTTGTATTTCAAAGTATAAACTTTATTTGCAGTAGAGCACCCAAATCCATTTTGGCACACATCTTCCCTGTATGCTCAGCATTCTTTTTTAGGCTTTTCTAGTCAGTTTAGGGAGGAGGAGGGAATGGAAAAAAATTACAACACAAATACACTTTCTTGCTTGATTTCACTAGAGAAAAATTCGGAAAATACATAAAAACACGAAGAAAAATAAAATCACTGAAAATCCCTGCATCAGAGATAATCATTATCAATATTATGACCTACAGCTTTTCAGTGTCTCTTTCTGTGACAGACATTTGGTTAGTAAACATATCTTAAAATTGGGGTTATATGGTACATACTAAGAGCTAACGTTTAATGAGCTTCTACCATGTGCTTGGGGCTACACTTTACATTATTCTTTTTGCTTGGGGATAGAGACGGATTACGGCCAATTTCCTTTCCTTTTCTTTCTTTCTGATGTAATATCCAAATTTTCTCTAATAAAATCATGAGAAATGAAAAGAAGGGTTTTCTCTCTCTCATGTAAGTCTGGTTTAGAATGTCCATTTTTGAGCCAGATGAGACATCCATTCCCTTGATACCCATCAGCCAGCTATAAGGCATGAAATCAGTAACATTTTCCAAGATTCTGAAAGCCGGACTAATCCTTATCTTTTCAGTTACTGTGGGATCTTCAAAGGACTAGGGCTAATGAAAAGGAGGTCCTAGTATCAGTAACACCCTATTCAAAAAGCTTCCACTGCTTTTTTGCCTGCTCTGTTCATACAATTCTTGGAAATTTCACCTTTTCTAGTAAAAATAAGTTTACACTATTATCTAAACTAAGCATTTTCTTAAAACAAAACAAAAACCCCAAAAAACCATTAACTGTTTTGGTATCAATTTAGGAATCTGAAGGTGAAGGTTTGTATGGTCAGATAGTAAGTAGCTACTCTTCTTTTCCAGCTGTAGAATACCTTGGAACTGCAGAAAGATCAATTCAGAGCAAAATAAACATCCTGATTAATTTCCAAAATAGTCACATAAGTTTCAACACACAGACCTAAAAAGGAAATAAATATCAACTCCACCTCAGGCTTTTATCAACTCACAGTATACCAGGGAGATTTAATAAAATCTCACTGACAAAGACCCAACAAGACAATGGTGGGGCTGAGTCAAACACTTGAATTACAAGTTATTTTTTAAAATATGTGGACAGAAATCAGTTTAAAATTAGCACAGCAACCTAGGCAGTCTTTTAAATTGACTGGAAGCATCTTGTTTTCTTAAGTATTAGAAACATTCCTTTAAAAGCTTCCTATATGTTGGGGTGCTTGGCTGGCTCACTCAGTAGAGCATGTGACCCTTGATCTAGGGGTTGTAAGTTCGAGGCCCACATTGGGTGTAGAGATTACTTAAAAATAGAATCTTAAAACAAAACAACAAAAAGCTTCTCTGTGTCATTAATTTGCTTACCAAATGCTTCTTTCACAGATAATGCAAAGGCAGACTTCAGCCTAACTCCTTTTAAACTCAAATGTCAAATTAGTGGAATCTGAATGGGATTTTATGGTATTGCAGTTCTTTACTATGGAGATTCCATTGTGCCCAGGAATGAAACTCCTTAGGCCTTTGCAGACAGCAGAAAGAATAGGGTTCTTTGTGTGGCAGTTGTGTAGTGTAGACATTGACTAATATCACTGGATGAGATTAATTCTCCAAGAGGAGAGATTAGGGAGGAACATGTTGCTTACACTTCCTAGGATACAACAAAGAACACTTCCGTGATCCTGAGTAAGGTGACTTACATGTCTGTGAAGAGAGCTGGAGAGTCAGGCCGGTGGGACTGCACATCCTGCATAGCATTCCATTCATTGACTGACGACTGATCTGAGTTGATGTGGCTCTCGTAATAACTCACCCAGGTGAGAAACAGGCTGCCTGGGTAGTAGTTATGCATTCTGGCTACTTCACAAGCCTTGTGTAAACTCTGTAGTGCAGACCTGAAAGATATGCTGGGAAATGAGCACTGTAGAACTGTGGGGACACCAAAAAGCCAATAATCCATGTGTATCCAGAACTCTTTCAATTTTTAAATCCTATAGAATTTGGCCTCTGGAGAATCTATCTATTCCCTGGAATTTAAGATTCTCTGATTCCGATTATACTATATTATCTATTCACAGCAATTAGTTAGACACTTCTTGCCGATGCATTATTAAAGTTGGGGGTAGAGAGGGGCAGGAGAATTGACAACCCACCAGTGAAAAATAGGTCTGGGTACCTATGGAGCTCATGATCCTGTAGTTGGAACCATACTGTAGGTACGCTGTATCACTACAGAACTAAAGATCTCAACTATTTACTATATAAATATTTGTTTCCCTTGGCACAGAATCATCTTACTGCATACATTTCCTATGATTCTTAGAGGGTCCACAAAGATCACATAGATAGATGTCCCTAAGCCTTGAGGACATGTCCTTTCATGCCCAGGAAGTACTAATCTAATGACATTTATCATTCTTACTGCTTTAGTCTCCCAGTCTCTTTAAACCATTTATTCATACACTTGAGCCACTTTCTAAGAATAGCTCTGGTTATACTAATTAAATCTCTGACCATGAACTCAGGAACCCAAGAAGGGTAAACAAAACTGAAAGTACTTTTTTTTTTTTACTTTTATTTTATTTGAGAAGAACCTTTTTAGTTATATACTTGGGAAAAGCTAAAACCAGAAATGCTAGGAAATTAAGTTACATAAGAGCAAGGATCTTTCTACATTTTGTTTACTGATATATCTCAAGTGCCTATAAGAATGCCCAGTTCATTACCGTTCATAGTTGGAGCACAGTTAGTACTTGTTAAATGAAATGTCTTATTAGCTAAAAGCTAATGTCTCCTATGGGAAGAGGGCATTATGAGAGAATTCTATAGGTAATCCATTTACATCTTTCTTTTAAGAATACTGTTTAATTTTCTTCCCCCATAACAAAAGTGATCCATGCTAACTTTAGAAAATTTAGGGACCTTGGGGCGCCTGGGTGGCTCAGTTGGTTAAGCGACTGCCTTTGGCTCAGGTCATGATCCTCGAGTCCTGGGATCGAGTCCCACATCGTGCTCCCTGCTCGGCGGGGAGTCTGCTTCTCCCTCTGACCCTCTTCCCTCTCGTGCTCTCTATCTCTCATTCTCTCTCTCTCAAATAAATAAATAAAATCTTAAAAAAAAAAAAAAATTTAGGGACCTTAAGTAAAAGGCAGAAATATCCTGTAGTCTGACCACTGGGAAATAACCACTGTTATTAAAGTTTTAGTATAGATCTTTCCAGTCTTTTTGTCTATGCATAGATCTATAATAATGATATGACCACATTCTATACACATTTTATTTTTCTTTATTTTTTAAAAAGATTTATTTATGGGGCGCTTGGGTGGCTCAGCTGTTAAGCGTCTGCCTTCAGCTCAGGTCATGATCTCAGGGTCCTGGGATTGAGCCCCACATTGGTGGGGTCCCTTGCTCAGCGGGGAGCCTGCTTCTCCCTCTCCCACTCCCCCTGCTTGTGTTCCCTCTCTTGCATTGTCTCTGTCAAAAAAAAAAAAAAAAAGATTTATTTATTTATTTTAGGGAGAGAGAGAGCAGGGGGAGTGGCAGAGGGAGAAAGAGACTCTCAAGCAGACCCCCCACTGAGTGCACAGCCCGACTCAGGACTTGATCTCATGACCCTGAGATCATGACCTGAGCCAAAATCAAGAAATGACTAAGCTACCCAGGTACCCCTCTACATACAATTTAAACTTGATTTTAGTTTACACCTTCTTGTCAGCATCTACATCAATATTCTCCAACTAGATTATTTTAATGGTTGTATTATATTTAATAACATGGATGCACCATAATTTAACTAATTCCTATTTTTCAGACATTTAAATTGTTTTCCAGTTTTTGCTATTATTACAACACTGACAAACATTCTTATGGTTAAAATTTTTGCACATACCCACAATTATTACCTTAGGATAAATTCTTAGAAGTGGAATTACTGTGTCAAAAGGGCATGCAGAATGGTAAAGCGTAATGGCAAATCATTCTCAAGAAAGGTTGTTCCAGTTTATTTTCCCACCAATAGTAAATGACAATGTCTGTTCCCTGAATCCTTGTCAACCCCGTATAATGTAAATTAAAAAATAAGATAATTACCAATTTGATAAGGGAAAAACATTTCAGTCCATTTTTATCAGGGAAACATTTTTCCTTAAAAAACAAAGTTGCAGAATCTTTTAAAATGCTTTCTATTACTCAAAGTAAGCCAAATTCTCAGAGAAGTTTATCAAATTCTCAGAGAATTCTCTGTGAATTTCAGTTTCACTACATAGATTTAAAGGTAAGGGCCAGCTAAGTGCAACGTACAGGATATTCAATGCATGTTGTCTTCATCCAGGAAACTCATGCTTCAAAAGCATATGCCACACGTGTCTGGGGCAAGTACCCTAAAATACACTCAAGGCTTAGCCACCTCAGATACTTCAGCTGGATATAGGAGCAGGAGGCTACAGTAACTACCTTCCTGTGAAGGCAACACCTGGTTTAAATGCCGTTTTGAGGGGCGCCTGGGTGGCTCAGTTGGTTAAGCGACTGTCTTCGGCTCGGGTCATGATCCCAGAGTCCCGGGATCGAGTCCCATATCGGGCTCCCTGCTCAGAGGGGAGTCTGCTTCTCCCTCTGACCCTCTTCCCTCTTGTGCTGTCTCTCATTCTCTCTCTCAAATAAATAAATAAAATCTTTAAAAAAAAAAAAAATAAAATAACAACCATTTAAAAAATAAATAAATAAATAAATGCCGTTTTGATCCATAGATCATTTTTCTTTTTTCCTGTGACTTTCAGTTCACTACTCCCCAGATGGTACACCAAAAAGTTTATTCTGCAATAAGCTAACAGAAGTAAGACTAGTCAGTTTGCTTAGAACATCAAAGACTGAACTAGGTTATTACTTGAATCTTCCGTCATTGTCTTAAGAATTAAGACTGCTTTGTACTCCTTCTTAAAACACTGTCATTTATGGGACTTAACGCTGTTTGGTTTTACTTGGTACCTAAGAATAGATAGGTCAGTTGCCTTTAAAGGAGCCTTAGTCAAAGAAGGTAAAAGTTTTCCATGAGAAATTTATCTGTGAAATGTGCCCTAAATCTAAAAATCTGGTTTAAACACATGACCTGTAATTCTGTCCCACCTCAATTACTGCATGAAACGATAAGACTCTTAAGTTCAGTTGACTCTGTTTTATGACTGCACCCACCTCAAGCCTATCAATCCTGTTATTCAAGGGCAAATGAGCTCCCTGGAGTCTTTTTTCAGGCTCCTTTATTTCCTGCTTGGCTTTTGTTCTGTCCATTCTGCTCCTCATGAGGACTTCTACTACAGAACAGGCAACTGAATGAGAAACTGAAATTCAAATCTCTAGCTTAGGGATAGACTCTGAAACTTACAGTCACACCATTCCCTCGTTACATTAGATCATTTTTCTAGATAATCTAGAATAAGAGAGTAAGAGTCTATTCCGCCAAAATGGAAAAGATGCTCTCAGGCCAGGTATGCAACCTCTCCAAAACTTCAGCTTTCTCATCAATAATAAGGAACTAATAATATATTTTGGGGGAGTTGTTGGTGATGATTAGATATAATCCATGTAAAGCACAATGTCTGACCTATAGTTAAGTAGTCCCAAAGTGTTAGTACACCAGCTGATGATTATTAACATCTATAATGTTTAGGCTTTATTTGCATTATGCAGTCTTGCAAACAGTCATTAGCAATTTTAATGGAAACTTATCTATTAATAATATCCCTGATTACCCTAAGAAACTGAACACCAATGCACTGTAGTAGTGTGATGTTCTAGATTTGGCTCTAGACTGCTGCTAACTTAAGTCAGTATACCCATATAAGACTGTTCCAACCGGCAATCTGATTCATTAAGTATCTTCCAGAGTCTAAGAACACCTCTGAATTTCACTTGTTCACCAACGCTTAAGGCCTTCCACTATGATAATATGAAAAATGAACTCCTAGGTCATCTTTAACTATGAGGGCCACACAAACAGATCACAGAAAATCTTAAACACACAAATAGATCATACAGCATCTTCATAGAGAACTATACTATTTCAAATACTACTGCTCACAAAATATTGCCCCAAAAATATATTTAAAAACTTTCATAGAAAAAAAAACACCTTTCACAGAGACATTAAAATTCCTCTTACCACATTGCCTGTACAGATACAGGTTTGAATATGTGCACTCTGTTATCCGTTGATACACTGAACCCACTAAGGAAAAAAAAAATGAGATAAAAATCCACAAATGAGAGTAGGTTATTTCAATTGTGAGTTTTCAAGGTTATTTCTCAGGCTAGCAACTGCTGGCTCATTTGGAAGAAATCATCAGGCACTTCATGTAGAAGTCAGAGTACAGGACTTGACTGAAAAGCTTCAACAAATTGTCTGATTTTATCTACCGAGCAAAATGAATAGACTCCCACACTGGAGTTAGGGAATTACATAGTTTTCCAGCTGTAGCTACAGACAAACTGGTCTGCTATATATTTCTGTTTGGAAGTCTTGTGGGTTCTTAGTAAACCTGACCCTGGTTTTACAAACTGGAGCAAACATCTTGGTCTCTTGGGGACACAGTCTAAAAACACCAGGAGGTGGGGGTGGAGGGTCACTGGAAGGAACTGGCACAGGAAAGGGGTTATACTGTAGGCTGACAGCTGGCAGAGGCAGCAAGAGGTTATTTGAAACAGAACATATCATCCTCTGGGAGAGCATTGCAACAGTCCCCACATGCTCAGATTAAAGAGTGAGCCAACAAACTAGTTTTTCTTTGTTTGGATTCTTACCATAGTCGGCCTAGAAGAACAGAAGTGAGAGGCCCTGGCAAGTTGTATTTTTACTCTACTTTACAAAACAGGAGTTTAAAAGGACTCACTGAGTTGCTGACATGACAGTTCACTTGGGCACACTGGGCCTCCCATTCAGCTTAATGAATGGGCACTAAGATGGAACCCCACCCCTTGGCTTTCTGTAGGAGAGTAAAAAGGGAAAGCTCTTACCCATCACCATCCAAATGAATTAGGGTATCACTCCAGAGGGGCAGGACTAAGCCCATGGTACAAGTGCTACTGCAAGACAAGAAATAGTCCATAGGTTAATTCCTGTTATTCTAGGAAGCAATTCTTTATTAACTCTTTCAACACAATGGATAAAGCCCCTAAACTCTAAATTCTGGTGTGTCAGAATGGAGGAATTTCTATCATATAACTATCAATCTAATGTATGTGCTCTGGAGCTGTATCAAACAGGTGGTTAGTCAGGTCCTTATGTATTTAATAAAGAAAACTTACTGACTGAGCTCCTTGTATCTCAAAAATGGCCACTGTCTAAAAAATCCAGGTGATTGCTGCTGACCTGCGATTGGCAGGTTTCGCCCCAAGGTCACAGCATCCAACTCAACTCCAAAAATCATTTCTAATACCAAGCTGGTTGCTGAAGACCTCTGAATATAATTTGCTCAAATTTAACTCTGAGGTTTATGTAGATTTATTGAACACCAATTGGGAAATTGTCTATCTATCATACCACACCTCTGGATAACTGTAATCTACCCCAGACCTCTGCCACTTTCTCTCCTTAAGGCTGCTGTAAACCATTTTCCCCTTCCATCCAGTCTCCCAAAGGCTCTGACACCCTCTCCCTGCCAATGTATACAGAAAAGCAGCATTGTACAGAAGGAATCTCAGACATGTGAACATGCAAAGTATGCACAGCAAACAGTAGAACAGCAAAGTATGGTTGAGAGCACAGGCTCTGGAACCAGGGCTCTGGCACTAACTATATAATTTCATATATATATATATATATATGTACATATATATATATATAATTTTAGGCAAATTATTTAATTGCTTTGTATTCCAGTTTCCTCATCTATAAAAGTGAATAAAAATACCTTCTTGATTGGGCTGTTTTTGAAGGTTAAATTAGATAACACACTAAGAAACGTATATAACATCACCAAACATAATAACGACCAATTATTGGGCAGTTATACTTTGTCAAAATATCTGGATTTGATCCTTTTCAGTATTTCAATTCCTTTTGAAAAGTTATTTACCCTTTCTCAGCCTTAATTTCTTCACCTTAAAATGCAGTTAACAAAACCTACTTTCATAGGGTTATCATAAATATTTTAAAGTGAAACAATACATATGAATGTATTGTCACTTAAAACAAATGTTGAATATGAATTTTTTAGTGAGTGCTCTAATACAACTGAAAGTGACTGGAGGTGTGGAGAGGGTGAGGGACATCATGAAAACGCACTGAAAACAACATGAGGAATACCAAGCTTTTGCTATCGGAGTCACTGCAGGGCTAACGAAGACCGTTCCCTAGGTGGGCTGTGTCTAGTGCTCTGCACTGTACTTGCTGGCCTGTGTTACTCAACACCGAGCACTGTGTGCTCTACTAGTGATTCCAGAATTCAGGAGAATCAAATCAAGATTGCAACAGCTTATCCACATTGGAAGGCTGGGCCTGAATTCCAGATGCAGAGCTATATGCAAGAATCCAAGAGGGAGGAAGACAGCTCCACCACTATTTTTGTTGAGTAGATGAGGTGAGCACAAGGAAAACTTGTTTCGAAGATGGCTTCCCAAGATGAAGTGGGGTTATTTTCAGAGTAGTTCCTTTTTCTTTTCTTTTCTTTTCTTTTCTTTCCTTTTCTTTCTTTCTCTCTCTCTCTTTCTTTCTTTTTAAAATGAATGCTTAGCCAGGTTCCTAGCAAGTATAGTTTGGGTATAAATATGAAGGGTTTATAGCCTGGTGACAAATCTTGAAATTAAGTAACTCCAGAAGATGATACGGAAGATCCAAAAGAGTGTGATCTGTGAGCTTGTGATGAGATACCAGTTAAACTTTGGACAAGTGACAGTGATATATAGGAACCAAGTATCACATGTTCAGCTTATACTCAGGTCAGGCTGCTGCTTTACATTAAGTAGCTTTTTCACACAATAGGAACGAGACGCCTGAATTAGGCACACCTAGTATTTTTATCTAATTTACCTTGAGTTTCATGAGATTTTTCTCCTTTAAAGTACAGGTGCTTATTTTAGTAGATACTCATCCCATTCAACAAATATTTATTGAGTGCCTATATATACTAGACATTTCAAGGTGTTGGGGGTACAAAGAAAAATTATAAAACAACACCATAAAACTATTATTTTATAATTTGAAATATATTCAATGCAATTTGGATACCAAGGTTACATTATATATTTAAAAATTTATTACTTAAAATATAACACAATACTAAAAATTTTATTATTAAAATATAACACAATGCTTAAAAATACTATAAAAAGGTTAAATGAGTTGACATATCATATCTTGAGAACTACTTGGGAAGATATGTCTCTCATAAACAATCTGGGTTCTACTTTGGCTTAGTATTGTTTTGAAACATTAACTTTTTATATTCTCAGATACAAAATGATACAAATTCCTTCAAAAGCAATTGAGGAAGAAATGATACTAGATTATGTGAGTGCCAGTATTCTGAAGTGGGCAGCACTTTTCTTACTGTCCAAAGAGCTCATTCACAGAATATGGATGGGAATTCATAACGCCAAGTTTACCAAAAAGAATGAAAACTAGTTTCTATAGCTTTTCACATCACTTTTTTGTCTTCCATTAAATAAAATTTTCATTTGTTAGATATGATTCAGGCAGGACCATTACTGAAGACAGACACAGTTCACTGAGGATAAAATTACACATCTGATTTCTCACACACTGGGTCAGGAGAATCTGAAGTTGTTGCCTTGTATCTCTAGGGGCAGGCTCAAGTGAAGTTTCCAAGCAATCCCAGTTCCTGTTTTATGGGGTTTCCAAGGGAGGAGTCAGGAAGAACCAAAGGAAATAAGATACAGAGTAGCACTGTTGAACTTTCTGCAATGATGGAAATGTTCTATATATGTACTGTCCAATATGGTAGCCACGAGTCACATATAGCTAGAGTACTTGAAATATGGCTAGCTGTGATTGAGGAACTGAAATTTAAATTTTGTTTAATTTTAACTTATTTAAATAGTCACCATGTGGTAGTGGCTACTGTATGGGACAGCACAGATCTAGAGAGATAAAAATCTAAATCGGAGGTCTTAAAATACTAATGAATGTAGGCAGGGTAGGTGCTCTTAAAGGATAAATGCTTACTGAAAGGTCTGTTGCTTAGCTAATACCAGAGGTTAAATCCATGTAGGAGAAAACCTAAATGTGGTTTACAAGCCTGTGCAATTTCAGAGCATACAATTAAAGGCTGTAAGAATTATATAAGGTAACAACTCTGGCCTTGTGATCCTTGTGAAACCACAAATAATTTTCAGGTTGACTGTACAAGCTTAGGTAAACACTTGTTTGGGAAACCTTCTAATGACAATGTGATTCTTTTCCTCCCAACGTCAGGACAATTAGAATCACTCCTAGTCTCTTCTTTTGTGGCTAAATGTGTGGCCTGGGTCACACTGCTAGCTACTTCACAGTCCATTCTAGTCTCAAACCAGGAAGTCAATGCTTAGAGACATCTGGCAGGATTTCCTGAGGCTTATTATCTAGAGTGCAAAGATCTGCTTAGCCACATTCCACAGTCTTCCAAAGGTTTCTCCAGAAGAAGTGGGAAAATAAAAAAGGAAAGCAATAAGCTTTAGGGACACAAAAGAGCCAGGTTCTGAGTGCGGTATGATACCTTTAATTATAGGATGCAAAGTGCGGCTAAAGCCAAAGGTGCATGAGTATAAAAGGTTCTGTTCTGAATTAGAAAAAAATCAATTCCCTCCCACCCTACCCTTTTAACTCAGAAGAAGGAAAAAGGAAGGAAAACATTTGGTAAAAGCAAGGTGTAAGGCCATGAAAAAATATAAGAGATTAGAGTTAAAGTGGGCTCTCTCTGAACCCAAGATCTACTGGTGCACTATCACAAAGGGTACTGTGCCCTAGAATCAGCAAAGTGAATCATTACTGCTTAAAATAAAGTTAACTATAAAGATAACACAGCTTTTTATTCCTGGAGATATAAGTTTAAATCATTTAAATCATTTATATTCATTACCATTTAAGGATGAGGGGAAGGTAAGGAATAGTGATAAATTAGGAACACAAACAAAGACATTCACTAATCATTTTCATCTCTCAAGACTGTATGGCTAAGATACTTTAAGAGTAGAATAGTGTAAGGTGTTTTTGTAGTAACTCAAAAGGCAACTGGAATAGTTATTTAAAAAGGAGTTTTCTCATCCTTCCTTTTGTGGTACCATACCTGTCATTAGAAGAGAAATCCATTCCTAGGACGATGCTTTCTTCAGTGTCTTGTCTACCATTAGTTGAAACCACTACCATATAGCGTGTTCTATTCTGGTAAGTACTTTCTAGTCTTACAGCCTGGAAGTTAACAGACAACAGATATATTAGGAAATTTAGAAGGTCAGTTTTAGATCATTCAACCTCTTTTTACATCAGCATCTTAAAGAATGCTCAGGAAGACTTAACTTCAAATTCCAGCTCATGTATTAACTATGAAACCGTCAGTAAGTTACTAAATTAATTGGAGGGAGATATAATAATACCTATCCCACTGGATTATAAGAATCATATGAAATAGTGCATGTTTATAAAGCACAGTGCTTGTCATATAGTACAAGCTCAAAAGATACTGGCTACTAGCATAATTTATAATAATAACAACTACCAGGGCATGTTCTAAAGACTGAAAGAGGGAAACGTGAGATAATATGAATGTGAGCACTGGACTCACAGATGCAAGTCCCACAGATAATTATGATACAAAGCAAGCCATTAATATATAAGAGGAGTATACTCTGTTGAAATCTTACAGATTAGGGCGCCTGGGCGGCTCAGTTGGTTAAGCGACTGCCTTCGGCTCAGGTCATGATCCTGGAGTCCCGGGATCGAGGCCCGCATCGGGCTCCCTGCTCAGCAGGGAGTCTGCTTCTCCCTCTGACCCTCTTCCCTCTCGTGCTCTCTCTCATTCTCTCCAAAAAAAAAAAAATCTTACAGATTAAACACTGCAAGATTTTCTTCTTCAGTTTCTGTGATAAAGAAATTGCTTTTTCAGAGAGAAATTGCTTATATTATTTTTTTGTCAAAAACTTTTTATTTATTGCTTGTTTGTAATATTTTAAAAGGGCCTTCCAAAAATTTGAATATGGACAGGATGTTAAATGATAGTAAGGATTTACTGTTAGTGTTATAATGGCACTGTAGTTATGCCTTTTTCTTAAGTATCTGGAATAAAATGACATGATGTCCAAGTTTTACTTCAAAATATTCCAACAATGGGAAGCAACTAAGATGTCCTTCAGTAGGTGAATGGGTAAACTAAATACATCCAGACAATGGAACATTATTCAACACTAAAAAGAAATGAGCTATAAAGCCATGAAAACACATGAAGGAATATTAAATGCATATTACTATGTGAGAGGAGCCAATCTAAAGAGGCTACATATTATATGATTCCAACTATATGACATTCTGGAAAAGGGAAAACTATGAAGTCAGTAAAAAGATCAGTAGTTGCCAGGGTGCAGGGGAGCACAGAAGTTTTTAGAGCAGTGAAACTACTCTGTATGATACCAAAGTGATAGGTACATGTCATTTTATGTTTGTCAAAACCCATAGAATGTACAATACCCAGACTGAACCTTAATGTAAACTATGGACTTTGAGTAATAATGATGTGTCAATGTAGGTCCATCAACTGTAACAAATGTACAACTGGTGGTCTCTCACTCTCTCTCAAAAAAAATAAAATCTTTAAAATAAAGGAAGGAAGGAGGAAGGAAGGAAGGAAAAAAGGAAGGAAGGAAGGAATAAAAAATTCTGCAATGCTGAGAATGGACCTGAGGTTTCAAATTTCCTTTTAGGCTTCAAGATTCAAGGTTAAGAAATTAAAATTTTAAGAGCCATAGCATAAAGAAAAACCTAATACCCACCTGGGTTAGAGGTTTATCTCATAGTCCTCTGCTAGGAAGAAGATTGATAAAAATCTAATCATCTAATTTTTTTTAAAAAAGATTTTATTTATTTATTTGACAGAGAGAAAGTTAGTGAGACCAGGAACACAAGCAGGGGGAGTGGGAGAGGGAGAAGCAGGCTTCCCGCTGAGCAGGGAGCCTGACGCAGGGCTCGATCCCAGGACCCCGGGATCATGACCCGAGCCGAAGGCAGATGCTTAACGACTGAGCCACCCAGGCGCTCCTCTAATAATCTAATTCATGAAGTTAATCAGAGAAATGTAATTTAAAATGGCAGTTTGTACATAATACCCTAATATTAGAATTGGCAGCAATTTCGGTGTTTCCTCAGTCTCCAAAATTTACATGGAATAGATGACTGAAATAAGGCAATTCAGGTGCATTTGATTAACTCCAGTTCTCACTGAAAAGGATGCCACTGAAGTTTATTCTAATTATCCAGCCAAAACAATATTTTGAATTTTAAAACTTTACAACAATAGCAACTGAGAAAATTATTCCAAGAAAGTCCATTTATTGCCTAAATTTGGATTCTATTACAAGTGTCAGGTGAACTCGACTCAGCAATCTGAGGACTGAGATAGGTCTGAGAAGTCATCTGCCTCTGCTTTATTTCTGATAAGAACCCAACCTGTTTGCAAAGCTCATCTACCAAAGAATGATGTTAAAACTTCTCTCAGTAACTACTTTTAAATGTTTATAATCTGATTACAAGCAGTTCACAAACACCACCTGATAAAATAACTTCTGTCCTTAGCATCATCCAACATCAAGAAATACTATTCCTTAAGCTTACACTGCACCTTTGCCTTTAATTTCTTTTCACCAAGAGTCTTACATCATGTCACTGCATGCAATGTTTATCCTCAAGGAAGCCACATTACAAAGTCCCAATGTCTAGACAGGCAGCTCACCCAATCCATCAGAGAGAAAGGTTTCAAAGTATGTAAATATTAAATTCTAGCCAAAAGAACAAAGCAAAGTCATTATCTAAAATTAAAAGACTTCAGATGTGACACTAATAAACTAAAGAACATTGTTTTCAAAAGAAATAGAGCTTGAGGGAGTCTCAGGATTTTATTTTTTTAGTTTATCTCTATGAAATTCTTAAGTTAAAAAAAAATCTATGTATTATATTCTGTGTAGCCATTAAAAACAGATTTATTTGTTGACATGGAAAGATATCCAAAATAAAGAGTGAAAAAAGCAGATTGTAAGTTAGCATTTATGCTTTCATCTCATTTTTGTAAAAAAAAAAAAAAAAAAGTGCTGACATATACTCTTCCCCATTCAATTCTGAGCTCAGATCAACTGTAGAAACCTTCATAGTTATAAAGATTGGTAGTAAAACCTTTTCATCATTGCTCAAAACAGATTAGCCTTTCATATATACACATTTCCGCCAATTTCATTCATCCATGAGCAAGTCCTCAGTTATCCACTTTTTAAACACACAAAAACGCCCCTCCTCACCCCCAGACATGTCTTGTTGTTTTAACGATTTTATTTATTTATTTGAGAGAAAGAGAGAGCACAAGTCGGGGGAGAAGCAGAGGGAGGACAAGCAGACTCCACGCTGAGTGTGGAGCCTGATGCGGGGCTTGATCCTATAACCTAGAGATCACGACCTGAGCCGAAATCAAGAGTCAGCTGCTTAACACTGAGCCACCCAGGCTCCCCAAGTCTTACTGTTTTAAATTACTTTATACTTTTGCTTCTCAGAACTGCAGAGATCAATCAGGGAGATTAGTAGGTCTTCTGATACTTAGGTTTGGCTATTTTTATCATTGATCCACTTCAGTAAGAGCAGAGGTCAGAGAATCTGACATACTCTTAGACACACACACACACACACACACACACACACACAGGAAAGACTGGAAGGACGCTTATCCAAATTGCTAAGAATGGTTTTCTCAGAAAATAGGATACAAAGTGATTTTTACTTTCTTCCTTACACCTTCCTGTATTCTATGATTTTTAAAAATTTTCTATTTAGAAAAAAATAAACCCATTTTCATTTTGGTAAACTATCAATGTAATATAAAAAACAAAGCCTAAAAAGTCCTTATTTTCTTAAACTCTCCTGCAAAGTACTCAAAAACATCTTGTGCCTTATCAGTACCTTAACTCTAGTTAAGAATATTAAAGTTACTTCCAATGTTAGGAAAGGTTTTCATTTTCCAGTCTATTTTTTTTTATTGAATGGGTATTGGGTAATGTGCAAGAGTATTAAAAAAACGCGGTCTTCATTTTACCAGCTACAGTTTTCGTAAATACTGAAGTTAATGCTTGGGACTGTATTGGGAATGCAGAGTTTCCCCGGAGGAAAAAATGGTTTACTCTTATTTTTTATTTTTCCAAAGGTGCAGAGGGAGAGAGAGAAGCAGGCTTCCCACAGAGCAGGGAGCCCGATGCGGGGCTCAATCCCAGGACCCCAGGATCATGACCCAAGCCGAAGGCAGACGCTTAACCAACCGAGCCACCCAGGTGCCCCTACTCTTATTTTCAATGCTGAAGCAAAGTGTGGGATTTGGTGCCACTATCTGTTGTTGGGTTATTAAAAAAATAAAGGCAGGACTTTCAGTTGACTATCAAACTTTTAACCTTATGTACAAGCCCCAGGATGAGCATTTTAGCATTCCAAATTTAACTCAAAACAAAAGGCCTTGCTTTGAGTCTACAAATGCTCCTTTCAGTTAGAAAAGTGCTAATTTGTCCAAAGTCACACAATGTATTCACTCATTTTCTTGAAGATGACTCACTCAATAATCTGAAACATAATGACTATGTGTTTGTAACAATTCAAAACAACTGTAAAATGGCTTGTCATTTAAAATGAATTAATTCAGAGGCATCAGTTACATTTTCGGAATTTATATTTTATAAATGTAAAGCAGTTAAAGCTGCATATTTTAGCAGGCCAAGAAAAAAAGTTAATTGCCAACTCTGCCTTTCCTAACTGCTTCCTTAATGTTTTCCTGTGGTTAAAATTACTTTAATGTTTAGAAGTGCAATCTAAATTCCAGAAGGTTATCAAGGAGAAAAAGATAAAGTGATGACAGACCTCAACTTTAACTCTACCAAACTACACAATTTTTGGAAACTTTATAAACATGTATCTGACAGGCATTAAGTATGTGCAAGTGACCATTATTATGGGTTTTAGAGGAGATGTTCTCTAAGTGTGATTCCTGGATCAGCAGCATCAACATCACTGGAAAACTTGTTAAAAATGCAAATTATTACTGCCTCCCCCTCCCCAAATCAAACAGTGTGGGTGGAATCCAGCAAAGGGGGCCAGTTCAACAAAGCTCTGCAGGTGATTCTGATGTACTCTAAGGTTTGAGTATCACTGCTTTAGAATATAAATGCTGTAAAAACTGTAAACCACCTTTGTTCACTTATAAAGAAGTGTTTAAGATAGAAGTATATAAAAATATGGACAAGATTTACATAAATGTATGATGTGATTTTCAAATTAGGATATAAAATAATTATATAAGGATTTCTTATTTCATATTCTTTAAATTTCAAAGGAAGTTTCTCACTCAACAAAAATTTGTGTCCATTTTAAGGTGAAAGAGGCAGCTTTTGAGAGAAAAAAAATGACAGAATTTGAACACAGAATTACTAAGTGAATGAAAAATCAGTTAATTACCACAGAGTTCAGAGACCTGATCATCAATTTTTTACAATCATTCTTGTATTATACTCATTATCTCTCTTCCCGTTCAGAAAGCAGAGATCAACCATTTGAATTTAACATGCCAAAAGAAACCCAATTTCCAAGTTATCACCCAAACCTAGAAGGGCCGATCATCACATGCTTAGATTATTGCAACAACTACCTAGTGGACCTCCATGACTTAAGATGGCTTCCTCCTCCCCACTATTCTGTATTAGCTTCTGAGGAATCTCTCTCTCTCTCTGTTTTTTTTTAGTAATCTCTATACCCAACGTGGGGCTCAAACTCACAATGCAGAGATCAAGAGCTGGATACGCTACTGACTGAGCAAGCCAGGTGCCCCTCTGTTAAATACTGTAGCTGTTCCATGTAATTCTTTGCTCCAAACCTTGTAGTGTTTCACACTACTGGTTACTGAAAAGGCAGAGGTACTACCTCCAAGTATTAATCTAGAGGGTCAGATAGGGAATACAAATGAGTGAAGTAGGCCATATGAATATTAAATGGGTAGAAATGCTCTTCACTTTTCATAAAGAAACATACTCATCCCATTTTTGTTTTCCTATTTTAATTAAATATTCTACTATAAGAAAACTAACAGTGAAGAAATGATGACAAATAGAGACACTTGGCTTTAGAGTCTAGGAGACAACACGATATGTGGGGATTATGGTAAATTAAAAGCCTAGGCCATACCCATGCCTGCCTCTTTGGGTCTAGCAAGTTTTATCATGTGAGAATAAGGTCCCAGTGTTGCCAGAATTTTAGATTTTTGAAGACAAGCTCCTAGTATGGATTTTTATGTGAAATCATTCAACTTTAGAATTCTGGCTCGGAGGGCACCTGGGTTGCTCAGTCAGTTAAGCATCTGCCTTTGGCTCAGGTCATGATCCTGGAATCCCGGGACTGAGTTCCGCATTGGGCTCCCTGCTTAGTGGGGAGTCTGCTTCTCCCTCTGCCCTTCACCCTGCTTGTGCTCTCTCTCTCTCTCAAATAAATAAAATCTTACAAAAAAAAAATTCTGGCTCGGAGTGAAAAACACCACCACTGTGGTCCAAACAAAACATATCTGCTACTTTGAAAAACAAACAAACAAACAAACAAACAAAAAACATATCTGCTACTTTGAGTCCCCTAGTTTGGAGCATTAAATTCTATTTGTCTGCCTTGTTTCCTGGTATCTTATCTTCCTTATAGTAACAATAATCCCCAGATTTGGGCAGCATTTTATTCTCTTCAATATGCTTTCATGTCCATTTGATCCTCTCGACTGTGAGAGGTAGAAAGAAGATGAGGAAGCAGGCTCAGACAAGCTAAGTAACTTGTCCAACATCACATGATTAGTAAAAGCCTAAGCCCAGGTCTCCTTACTCTGAGACCAGCACAAATCCCTGGCCCTTTTACTCTTTCCTTTTCCCTTACATGTGCTTTTGTCTCAGTCAGGCCCTCATCTAGAAGGACGGTCTTCTTTCTTTCTGCCAATCTAAATTCATCATCTTTTAAGACCCAGCTCAAGTTCTACTGTATACATAAAACCTTTCCAACTAGGGCAAGTCTCAAAGTATTCTTTCTTCTGAACTTCAGTTGTTGTTATGGTCAGTAACTTACAAACTGGTGCTTATCAACAGCCTTGAATCATCAAATGATTTCACATCATTTCACATTAGCTCATATCATCCCAATGATATTCTAAGCTCTTTGATGGTGTGGACATGTTACTCTTTTTTGTTCCACATAGCTCCCAGCACTCTGTTGGGACATAAAAATGACTGCTTAATGTTTGCCATCTTAGATAGTTTTTTGAGTAAGAGTTATACTTACCAGCCTGATGTTATCTTCTGGGCGGAGTAATATGAACATTGCTTGGAGATGCTGTTGGAGATCACCTGGTGAAATTTATGAAACAAAAAATAATTATTCTCCACTGTAATGTCAATAGAAAGGATTCCTTCTACCTTAATAACCTGTATAAAAGAAAGTTCTGGGTCACTGAAGGATTATAATTAGACACAGAAATTAAGTGTCTTAATATTATTATTATTAACTTTAAGTGGAAAGACAGAATGGTAGACTGCATCTCTACACATTCACTTTTAGCCTATACTACATTAAAATTTGCTTTATGTTTGTCCAATGGGAGGTGCACTTGAAACCAATCTCAGTTTTGTACTATCGTGGATGTTGATGAAAGCAATGGTGAGATCTGTTGGGCTGTGCTTTCAGGCCCACTGAAGGTAGCAAGGAGGGAATCCTGAAAATGCGCTGTGTGATGAATGGGTTTAGAATTACCTCTAACATTACAAAAAACTAACTATTCTGCCATTCTTTTTTCTGTAAATCTTTAGTTGCACTTAACCAAAGATTTTTAGATTCCCCTTAGAATAATGTCAATGGTTTAAAATGATTTCCATATTAGTGGCTGATATTCAAGTAAGAGTACTCATTAAATACAGTGGGTCCCAAGAAATAAATAGTCCACTGAACCTAATGTTAGGTCCTTTAACATGGCCAATCATTACTTGAATACACACTTGTTTCTACACATTCTCCAAAACTAAGTTGAATTTTTTTTGTATTAAAGTATTATAGATTTCCTCATACTCCTTATTCTATACTAGAAAACATAGAACTTTGGCTAGTAGGAGATAATTAGATAACATACTGTTATAAATGATGACAATCTGAGAACAAAAAACTTCATTCATGCCCACTCAGGTCCATCTCTTTTTTAAGAGTCTAAAGTGACTGACATAGCCACCTAATCACAGATGCCAGTGGATGCCTGTTCTTACATTCGTCTTGAAATCTACATACAAAATCTTCCTCCAGGTAATTTCAACTGTTAACAGTGAGATGAAATACTGATATGAGCAAGAAGTGGTGAGGGGTAGGAAGAAAGAAAAGTAGGTTAGCAAACAGATATTTGTTTAAAAGGTCAGCAAGTCTGAAAGCCTCTCCTTTTTTTCCCGTTTCCTTCTCTTAAAGAATGGTTTTCTTGCCGCCCACCCCCCAACCTCCATTTCAATACTGGCTTCTGACCAGTTCCATTACTGCAGAATCTTTCAACTTTCAAAATTAAAAAGGAGAATCATCATGTTTGGCCAGGTCTGTTCTACCACATTTCAAACCCAGAGACACAATCTAAGTCTCATGTGTAAGAACCAGTATGGGCTCATAGCTATAAAACCAAGAGAAATGAAAACATATGTCCACGCAAGAACTTACACATAAAGATTCACAGCAGCATTATTTGTAAGAGTCAAAAATTAGAAACAACTCAAATGTCTATCAACTGGTGAATGGAAAAATGAAATGTGGTATATCTATACACTAGAATATTTGGTCATAAAAAGGAATGAAGTACTGACACATACCATAATGTAAATGACCCTTGAAAACATTATGCTAAATGAAAGGAGCCTGTCTCAAAAGATCATTTATATAATTCCACTTATATGGAACACCCAGAATGGGCAAATCTATAGACAGAGAAGTAGATTAGTGGTTGTTTAGGATTGGCAGGGAGGGTGGAGGATATAGGGAATGACTACTAATGGGTAACTGGGTTTCTTCTGTGGGGTGATGAAAATGTTCTAGAATTACAGTGATGGTAGTACAGCTCTGTATATACTAAAAAACGACAACACTGAATGTATACTTTAAATGGGTAAATTAGGTGAAGTACATGGTATGTGAATTATATCTTACTAGAACTGTTAAAAAAAAAAAAAAAAGAACCAGTGTGGGGAGACAAAGTGTTAGCTATAAACAATGAAGAGTGACTTGAGTTAAGCAGCTGAGGCTTTTTAAAAATTAAGATTCCTTCTGCTCCATCAGTACAGATGATCCAAGGGAAGGATTTTTAGGATAGAGAACTTGTAGAGGACAACCATTTCTGGGTAATTAGTGGCCTAAGTTCCTACTCCAAGTGCTATTGGCCCAAAGATCCAGCTGGCTTCTTGAAAGGTCAGGCAAAAGTCAAGAAGCCCCATCCCTCCTCCCGTAAGCCTTCTTATGTGAGCTGAGTATGTGGAAACTCAGGTTTGTTAGTGGTGAAAAGTACTGTCGGTACACAAACTGGCTATTTGCTACTGGAAAACCTTAATTGATAAGTCACATAAGAATTCATTATAGTATCTTTGTACCTTATTATTTTTCCAACACAAATTTATTGAACACTTACTACATATATAATGCATTCTGCTAAGTGCCAGAAAGATAGTGAAAGAAGTGATTATAGCACAGTACAATGCTTTCTTTCACTATTACAAGACTGTTGGAGAAACAGGGATGAGGTTGTCAGCCTTTTAGCACAAAACAAAAGGCAAAGAAACCAAGAAAGGAATGGTGTATGTGGAACTTTACCTGCATGCTTGTTGCGTCTGTGGCTAATTCTTGGTGTAGATGAGCCATTTCCCCGTGGTAGAAAAAGGGCAGCACCTTTGACAGTTAGAAAGCTCTCGCTGATGCTATAAGGGAAAAAGTCAAAAGGAAACAGATTACTTAAGGAAGGAAATCAGAGTATGATGGAGATCCATTTTGGGATTATTCTCTCTCCCATCTTCCAAAGTCCCTATTTCATGGGATGAAGTAAAAATAAAATTAAGAGAGACCCTTTTATTTACACAGTCCTACCTAGACAGTTTTTCTGAAGCAAAACCTACAATATTCTATATATATATATTACATGGTAGCAGTTAAGAATGAAGGCTCTGGAAACAAAAAAGAGGGTAAAGGCTCTGGAGCCAGATTGCCTGGGTTTGAATCCTGGCTCTGCTACTTCTTACCTGAGTGAATTTTAGGGGGCCTAAATTTCCTTATCAGTAAAACAAAGGTAATAAAATGAAGCTGTTGTGAGGAATCAACAAGTATACAGTTTCTTAGAGTGGTGCCCTTGTGCAGAGGGATTTTTGAACTCAAAATGCAACTAAGGTATAAAATTCTCAGTTTTACTTTAGAAGTATCTCTAGAAATGAAGCTGGCAGACATATCTGAGAACACTTTAGTTGCTTTTAAAATTCCCAAAGCTCTACCATAAATTTAATTCTTAGTGTTTTATTTTTTTAATTTATCTTTTAATTCTTAGTGTTTCAAATGATTGCATTTTAAGGTACATAAACACGGGTTACACAAATATCAATGCTATAGAAACATCTTTAGATAAGCATAAAGGTATAAATGCCTAAACTGGAAGAAACTTGAAACCCTCATCTTAATTCTTTTTTTTTTTTCCTTTTTAAAGAGTTATTTATTTGAGAGAAAGCACATGCGTGAGTGGGGAGGGGGTGGTGGTGGATGAGGGAGGGGATCCCAGTGACCCTGAGATCATGACCTGAGCCAAAATCAAGAGTCGGGCACACAACCAAGCCACCGAGGTGCCCCTTAATTTTTTTTTTTTAAAGATTTACATATTTGAGAAAGAGAGAGCGAGAGAACGAGCGCATGAGCATGGTGGGGAGGGGCAGAGGGAGAGAGAGAGAGAAACCCTAAGCAGACTCCATGCTGAGTGCAGAGCCTGACGTGGGGCTGGATCCCATGACCCTGAGATCATGACCCAAGCTGATACCAAGAGTCTGACGTTCAACTGACTGTGCCACCCATGGGTCTCTCATCTTAATTCTTTTTTTTTTAATTTTTTAAAATATTTTATTTATTTATTTGACAGAGAGAGAGATAGCGAGAGCAGGAACACAAACAGGAGTGGGAGAGGGAGAAGCAGGCTTCCCGCCGAGCAGGGAGCCCAATGCGGGGCTCCATCCCAGGACCCTGGGATCATGACTTGAGCCGAAGGCAGACGCTTAACTACTAAGCCACCCAGGTGCCCCTCTCATCTTAATTCTTAAATGTAGTATTTCTAACTTGTGACAGATTGATTGGCAGCCATTTTTGTGTGTTTTAAAATAACTGGGAGCATAGTTGAAATTTTATACATCAAATGACTGCTATTGAATGTTGCAGGTCAGATGTGGTTATTTTTAGTTTATTTGAAATGACTGACTAAAGGGGGGAGGGGGAAGTAAATATCTGAAATTTGGAAAACACTAAACTTTTTGGTAAGAACTTTTAATTTTCATTTACATTTTCTTTAAGGATATAAAAGGTTGATACTGTATGTAGTTAAATTGACCCATAACCATCGGTGATCAAGGGGCAGGTAACTATAGCCTGCAGAAAAAGTTATGATCTAGGAATTTAAAAAATAAGATCCTGAAGTTTTTGTTTAATTGCATCAATTTCTGTATTTATGTGAATTTATAAACTACATTAAGTTTTGAATGAGATTAATCTTGTTTAATATAAGTAAATGTGTCTGTAGACTGTGATCTCTCCAAACTAAAAAGATTAGTACTTGGAATTGTGTTCTTTATGGTTATAGTGTTGGTAAAGCACTAATACACAGAAAATAAAGGAATTACACAGTGCAAAAAAAAAAAAGTGGTGCCCTTAATAAATATTATTGTTATTGGGTCTATGATTATTAATAACAGTGTTTGATTAGTGTTCTAATCAGATGTAAATTATGTTACAACAGTTACTAATAATAGACCCAAAGTTTGCCTAAAAAATTTTGTTTAAAATACACACACCACGCTGAAATGTTACTCAAAATTTTACTTTCACTGACTTGCATTCCCACATGTAGTGAAAAGAGGCCATAGGAAATGTGTTTAACATATGGAGTTTGCCATGTTAACATCATCCTTCATGTAAATGACAGCTCAACAGAGGTGGAGATTTACTGTTCAGGATAGCGGTAATATAATTACTAGTGAATATCCACAGAAAAGAGAAAATATATCTAAACTATTTCATACCAACAGACTAAGCCTTTTAAATGTTTAATGTTTAAATGTTATCCACAAACTCTGAAAAGGCTAGAATTTCTAAAACACTAATGGCAAAATTTAGAAACATATAATGGAATGGAGGGTTCCAAGTTTGCCTGTAAGTATGTTATGCAGAGTTAGCTAATGTATTGTAAATTACACTGCCTACTCAACATTTCTACTTGGAAATCCAATTGGCATCTCAAATTTACATTGCCAAAACAAAGCTCTTGAGTCCCTGCAAACCTGATCCCTAGTCTCATCCACCCAAATTGTTTGGGCCAAAATACTTGACAGTCGTCCTTGGTTTCTCTTTTTCCCTGCAACTTTATGTATCCTAATCCAACAGCAAAACCTGGCTTTATTTCCATATGTATATCTGCCCACTTAGGTCCATTACCACTTTGACAATGTCCATGGCACCAACATTTTTCAAAACTAACACCACTGTTAAAGGTTTTTTTTAAGCTTTTTATTATAGAAAATTACAAATATAAACAGAAATAGAGGAGTTAATATAATGAACTCCCATGTTCTCACATATTTCAGCTTTAATTCAAGTCCAATCTTTGTTTCTTCTACATCCTTACTCTCTTCACCTTGTCCCTGAAGTGAAACTAACCCCAGACATTCTATCAGCAAAAAGTCTCTTAACTGGTCTATCTGCAACCACTTCTGCACTGCTGCTATCCACTTACCAAAGAGCAACCAGAGGGATTTTATGTATCTAAAATACACAGATACATCACGTGCTTCCCTTTGTACTTACAAAGAAAAGCTGAAGTCTTTAGCTTAGACTTCAAGGCCTTGTACATCATTTCTCTGATTTTGTACTATCTCCCCTTTTGTTCACTTGCTATAGTTGCACTGGTCTCTTTTGTTTCTTCTATATTTCAGGCCCCTTCTCAGGGCCTTTGTGCTTTTTCTTTTCTTCTATTTTTTAAAAATATTTTATTTATTTGAGAGAGAGCACGCACGTGCGAGCACAAGCGGGGAAGGGGCAGAGGGAGAGGGAGAAGCAGACTCCCCGCTGAGTAGGGGGCCTGATGTGGAGATTTGATCCCAGGACCCTGGGATCACGAACTGAGCTGAAGGTAGATGCTCAACCAACTGAGCCACCCAGGCGTCCCATGCTTTTTATTTTCTACTTGGGATACTTTTTCTCCTGGCCTGTCACTATTTAAGTCACAGCTCTAGTATCATCACCTCTTCCCCATCCCAATCATACTCTATCTTGTTATTCTGTTTTGTTTCCTTCAGGATATATATCATATACTAAAATTATGTTTATTTACTTGTATACTTGTATTTACTTGCATACTTTATTTACTTGTATACTTGACTGTGGTTATCTCCTTATGATAGCATATAAGCTCAACGAAGAGCAAGGATTTTATTTTGCTCAGTACATAATCCTTAACACTGGAAATAGTGCCAAGCACATATTAGGTGCTCAACGGCTATTTAAGGAATGAAACAATTCATCCCAGGGTTCTTCCCACATGGTTGTATCTGTCCCGTTATTGTAGCAGGAATTGTAATTTAGGACAAGAAAAAAGAAATTTCACATGTAAAAAATAATTGTTACAGAACTCAATATATGTGGCAGATTAATGGATTGTAAATACAAATGTTTGATGATAAATTAATTGTCAAATAAAATTAAATCACCTCTATAATGTTGTCAGTCGTTGACTCAATTTTATCCTTTAATTAAGTGGCATGAAGCTGATAAACTTTTGAGCTAACTTGCCAAATAGACTGGAACATGTCTTCTAAAAACAAACATAAGAATCCACGGATGCCACTTTAAAAATCTGCATTCTGGCTGGGAGGGGCTGCCTTTATTTTGTTTTGTTTTCATCTTTAAATAAAGCATTGTGCTCTTGTGGTCTGTTGCACAAGTCTTGTCTCTTGTTACGTTAGTGGTATGCACATGTCACCCTGCTGTGGGTCACTCTGTTTCACTCACATTACGGGAACCTAAAACAAAATGTCTTGAGTGACAGGATGAGTGGGGTACACCACAGACAGGAAATGAAATTCACACTTCTGCCAACACAGCATCTGTCTGCTTTACCAAATGAAAATATTTTAAAAATACAGACTAATATTCTACCTATTACCAAAGTTACAGCTGTGGGCACTTTGGTTTCCAGTAACCAAAGTGGTCTCAACATCTACAAAAGAAGTATATTTGTAGAGAGCTTAAAACAACCAAGCATGCTTTAGTCGTTCCTTTTGTGAGACAGAGGTAGTTTCTCTTAGACAAACACTAGTTTATAAACTTCCTGGTTTGATACATTTATTGTTGCTCATGCTTTAAAGCAAATCTAAGTGTGTTCTTTAAAATGTATGTAGTGCTTTCACATGGGGAGGGTTAGGGTGGGACCAAGGACCCTTGGTTAATTCAAAGCTACCTGGAAAATTCCTGATGGTAAAAGAAAGACCAGGAGTCAAACTCACATATAGTATAAGAGAAAAGATGCTTTTCTATTTGAATCATTTACACAAATCTCCATGAACTTTTCTGATAGAACAAAATGCACAGCGGATACAGCTGGGTCAGGAGACTGCCCTATTAGGTGCAGTACAGGCTTCCAGAGAGTCATGGCAGACACACTATGGATGGTACAGTCAAT